GCTTCTGTGCAGTGGTGGTGCGATAATTTTGTCCAGGAGTATATTTCAATAGAATCCTTACATGGTTTGAAAAGAAGAAATACAATCAGACCCAGACTCATTACGACATGGACAAACCTCCACCCAAAATAGTCCAAGGGTATAAGTTTAATATATTTCATCCATATTTAAATGATAATAATTGCGCTCCTGAGTATTTTCTCACTCCTTGTTCTGAAAACAGGGAATTTGCTATACTTAAACCTCCATTATGAAAATGAAGATATAATGATCAAAATTTTACATTTTCGGCTTTTGATCTCTTCTGGAAAAGTTTTTTAATGATTTAAGCGCTGGTGATAATCAAAATTTTTAGCAGAAAAATGTTCTAGCCGGTGATAATCAATATGAGAATCTTGATTTCCTTTGGAAACATTTCCTAGTGATTCAAGAGCCAGTAATGATCAAAATTTTAAATTTTCGGCTTTTGATTTCTTCTGAAGAAGTTTTCTAGTGATTCAAGTGCCGGTAATAACAAAAATTTTCAGCAGAAAAATGTTCTAACTGGTGATAATCTAAATGGAAATCTTTCCTGGCCCTCGATTTTCTCTGAAAACATTTCCTAGTGATTCAAGAGCCAGTTATGATCACAATTTTAAATTTTCGGCTTTTGATCTCTTCTGGAGAAGTTTTTTAGTGATTTAAGCGCCGGTGATAATCAAAATTTTCAGCAGAAAAATATTCCAGTTGGTGATAATCAAAATGAGATTCTTTCCTGGCTCTCGGCTTTTGATTTCTTCTAAAGAAGTTTCCTAGTGATTGAAGCGCCGGTAATAATTAACATTTTTCATTCGCGAAATTGCCGAAAAGCAACAAACTTGAATAAAACCTTGAGAACAATTTTGCCTACACAATTTTTTCTCGAGTGGTATTCGTCATGACTATTTCACGTAAGATTTTGAAAATATGTAAATAGAATGCAAAAATTTGAATAAAAACTTCAAATTAAAAATATCAGTTTGACAATGTCAAAAAATGGTCGAATGTAATACCACGAGAGGTTTCAGGATTACTGGATAATACTTTTACCTGTCACGAAACGCGTTACGCAGCAACACCACGACTCCAAAGGAGGAGTGGTGTTGTTGGTAACGCGTTGAGTGTCAGGTAAAAGTATTACCTAGGTAATCCTGGAACATCGAGTGGTATTCAAAAGGTTATACAACGAACTAAACTTGAATACTTTAAAATTTGAAAAAAATTTCTATAATAGAATTTGCTATAAATGCCACCATGCGCGATAATCCCAAAAGGCTTATCACTTGTTACGCCTCTCGTTTCATATGGGAATAATGTAGAGTGAGTTGTATAGGTAATCGAATGTAATACCACAAGAGGTTTCAGGATTACCGATAATTTTTCACGATTGCGTGTTTTCTATAATTTCACGAGTCCGTAGGACGAGTGAAATTTGCAGAGAAAACACGCATGAGTGAAAAATTATTTGGTTCATTTTAAAGCTCAAGTGGTATTTAGAGGATTATTTCACGTATGAGAATGCAAAAAATATGGAAATAAATATGTATTAAACGATTTGAACATCTTAACAATCAATACAAATAAATGGTTGCTATCAGGAACCGTTTGTTTGTATCAAAAATTAGCATGACATCCATGTATACAATAACATGGGAGAATTATCGCTGTAATTCTCTCTAGTTAAACAAATGGAAAAGAGAATTTTCGCTGTAATTCTGAAAATCGTCACTTGTCTTATGAGATTTCTAACAAATGAGTGGAATAATCGCTGAAATACCATGTTGTTGGTATTGTCCAGGTAGCATTATTGTCAGGTGAATACCGAATTTATTGCCGGTGTAATACACTCTATTGAAATAGTCAGCAGAAAAATGTTCTAGCAGGTGATAATTAACATAGGAATCTTTCCTGGCTCTCGATTTCCTTTGGAAATATTTCCTAGTAATTCAAGAGCCAGTAATGATGAAAATTTTAAATTTTCGGCTTCCGATTTCTTCGTGAGAAGTTTTCTAGTGATTCAAGCGCCGGTAATAATCAAAATTTTCAGCAGAAAAAATTTCTAACCGTTGATAATCAAAATAATAATCTTTCCTGGTTCTTGATTTCCTTTGGAAACATTTCCTAGTGATTCAAGGGCAAGTAATGATCAAAATTTTAAATTTTCGGCTTTTGATTTCTTCTGGAGAAGTTTTTTAGTGATTCAAGCACCGGTGATATTTAAAGTTTTTAGCAGAAAAATGTTCTAGTCGGTGATAATCAATACGAGAATCTTGATTTCCTTTGGAAACATTTCCTAGTGATTCAAGAGCCAGTAATGATCACTATTTTAAATTTTCGGCTTTTGATCGCTTCTGGAGAAGATTTCTAGTGATTCAAGCGCCGATATTAATCCCAATTCCCAGCAGAAAAATGTTCTGGCCAGTGATAATCAAAATGAGAATCAGAGAATCATTCTTCAATTTCCTTTGGAAACATTTCCTAGTGAATCAAGAGCCAGTATTGATCAAAATTTTAAATTTTCGGCTTTTGATTTTTTCTGGAGAAGTTTTCTAATAGTTCTAGCGCCGGTGATAATAAAAATGAGAATCATTCCCGGCTTTTGATTCCCATGTGATTTAAGAGCCAGTATAGCCTTCAAAAATGTTGAAAGAGAGTGGGAGTAGGTTTTCATATAAAAGAGGATTAGGTGTCAGTTTCACAATAATATTTTCTTATAGTGGTTCCATTTCAAGAGATATAGATATAGGAGATGAATGTCTGTTTGTATCCACAACATGCGTCATATAGACGTCAAAAACGGACGCTTTGAAAAAATACGTCCACTGGAGTATAGACGTCAAAAATTGATGTTTCAACCACTTAATATAGTGTGCAAAACATTACCCAACCTCTATAACATAGTTCATTGCCTGTAACTTAATAATAGGGTATTTGCATCAATTTTTATTATTGCTGATTTCGTTAGTCCATAAAAAATAAGTCAACACGTGTTTTTTCTATTTCTTCTTAGTCAAAAATTGACGGAGCTATGAAATATGCCTATGACGTCACTTATCAAATAAATTAGTGACGTTGCACATGCTTAGTATATCTATATATACAAAAGTTAATATTTGTATAACTTCCGGAATAATCATATTTGGGCGAAATTAAAAAAAAGTAACGATTTTTTTTCGATTTCCTACAGTTTGCAATAAACAATAATCAATTTAGGTTTCCATGCAAGTACCCTATTATCCGCTCATGCTAACACAAAGTAGCAGCATTATTAACTCAATATTAGAGAGTTAATGGACGTGCAATAAGGACAAGCAGTATTTAAATTAGCCTTATTTTGACATCTACGCATGCGCATTTGGGTCTGAAAATAAGGATTCCCTTAATAAGGTTACTGGGCTGGAACTCTGTAACGGATAAGGATCGTTATCCCTATCGCTATGGCACTTGCTGTCTTTTTCTTTCTTGTCGAAATCAATAGAGAGGAGACGTCAATAGAGATAGAGAAAATATCTCTATTCGTTACAGAGTTCCAGCCCTGCTTGTCTTTATTTGTGTATGGTTAGTGCGAGGCAGTAAACTTCCCTTATTTCAAATTTCTGACATTTTGGACAACTTTGACGTTTTGCTTTTCGACGATGACGTAATTTTACTTAGAAAATTTATTTTTTCTATTTTGGTGTCATATCGAAGTCTTTTCGACACTAAAAGTAGTTTCGAAAAGAAGCTCTTTGTGACACTCCTTTTTTACTTATCGGAGGTTGGTTACACTGGCTGACTGATGGCCATCGAACTGTCATTCGCGATTTTATAATAGAAGATTTCTATATTTTGCACGTAGTGTTACCAACCTAAACATATAAAATCAGGAAATATGAGAATAAAATTTCCAAGAAAAATTTGTTTTTTTAAATTAAACAATACCAAAATAGAAAAAATGGTATAAAATATTCGTTTCATAAGACATTTTATCGCACTCGCCCTTAGAAAACTCGCCTCCGGCTCGTTTTCTAATATAGGGCTCGTGCGATAAAATGACGTCTTATGAAACTTGTATTTTAATGTACTATTTTACAATAGTTTTCCATTTTACGGTGGGTAACATCAAAAAATGAGTATCAGCAGAAAATCACAAACAAAAATAAACACTTTTTGAAGCTGAAATGTATAAACATAGCTATCATCTGTCAAAATTATGAATACAAAATAAGGTAATACTCTAGCACCTACTACAGTCTCCCAATAACTGTTTTTTTCTTGGAAAAATAGTGCTGATGCACTAATAAAATAACGTAAATCCTTAATACTGCGAGGCAGTATTTAATAGTTCAAGAATCAGTAGTTTGAAAAGCCCTAAATGACATATAGGTAGGTACTAATTCCGAACTTTTAAGTCGAAATTTTACTATTTCTGAGTTGTCAGTTCGGAATTATACACTAAATATCTGAATTGTTAAGTCGTAATTACTTATCCCAAGTTGTTAAGTCGGAATTAAAAGTTTTTTTTATATTAACTGGCTCTTCTACATCATCTACCCATACCTATTCCATTTGGCAAATATTTTTTACAATCCATGAAAGGAAATTCGCTCTTAGTCCGGCATAATTACAATAATTACATGAAATAGTATAATTTTCTGCACGCTTTTTGAAGCAGAAACAGGTATTTCACTAAAACAAACAAATTCGGAATCAAATACAAAAAACAGGAATGAAACCAAAGATTCAAGACAAAGGTATTACCATAACATCTTGGCCGTTGTTCAACACTTACCGAGAGTAATTCAAGTCGCCGTATATCTTCACTATAAATTACCTTATCCCATAATCCTGTAAACCTATAATAATCATAAAACGTATACGAAAGCAAAAATAAACCAAAAATCTGGTTAAAATGCCCAGAAGCTCCGCAATTGGATTATTTATAGGGAGTTCTTGTGTGAACAAACGAGAACCGTAATACTGACATTGTATTTTTTTTTCAGTGATTTACGTTTCAATCGTATCAGAGACATCCCGAATGGATTCTTCAAAACTCACACTGGAATGGTATCACTTCTTCTCAACAACAATTTCCTGACAAGCTTGAGAAACGAAACCTTCGCAGGACTTTACAGTATACAAAACTTGTATTTGTACAAGAACAGAATCAAATATATTGATAGTGGCACGTTCAAGCATATGGCAAGATTAGAAAGACTGTAAGTTTTTTTTGCACTTAACGTAACTTGATCCAAAAGCAAACATTATCCTTGGCGAATTAGCGTATAAATAAACTTTGAGGTTGAAAAATCGAATCGAGTGGTCTTATAAGCTCGGATTTATTTACTTTGCCAATCCGATAAATAAACGAATCGGCTTAAAAAATGCTTGGTAACTTATGTAATTTATTTTCATTTCAGATACTTGCAAGCCAACGAATTACAAGAATTTAAGGCACCAACCTTTTCGGATTTACCATCACTTGATCGATTGTAAGTACCTAAGTACATATATATCAATATGAAGCTTTTTTCAAAAATGAAATGATAAAGCACTTACAGTTAGGGTCATGAGTTAGTATTACATGGTACTACCTCCACACAAAACCCATTATTCTCCATTAAAAATCTGAAGAACGTGAGTTATGGCGGATTAGAAGACTTAAATGCAGTAATACAATATTCCCACGACAACAGGTCAGCATTATTTGTTCTCAACTTGTCGCACGCGGGTACGGGTACGTGTGCCTGCACAAATGAACAATAATGTGTTTTCCTGCTTTGTACCTACATTAGACTCTGGCATGGGGACCATTAATAATATAATGATGCGGCATTCTTCACTGTAAGATCATTTGCAAGAAGATAAGCCGTGAAGCAACACTTAAGTGTGAAATTCTTCGTAAATGAAAGATAATTCTTGGTTGTTCGTGCTGTAATAGAAAATGTACTCGTTAAAAATACCAGGTGTGAAGAACACTTATCATTTTATCATTTCCTTATTTCTTTTATACTTCCACAGTTTCAAATATTGTTATTGATTTGATTTTTATTTTCAAAATTACAGATACCTCTACAACAATCACATTAAATTAATTCCAAACGGAGCCTTTCACAACTTACCAAGACTACGAAGACTTCGTCTAGATCACAACGCTCTAGTTTGCGACTGTAAGCTGGCATGGCTCTCAAAAATGTTAAGCAAAAGCCATTCAGTTCTTCAAGCTTCGGCAAGTTGTGCTCAACCAACCGAAATGACTGGCAAAAGTTTGATCGGCATGGAACACAAACATTTTCACTGCGAACCGCCCAAAATCGTCGAGAATCCCGAGGATGTTCAAATAACTCTCGGTGGAGTAGCAGTTTTCAAATGTTCGGTACAAAGCGACGAAGAACCTTCGATAGTTTGGATGAAGGAAAACGAAGAACTTATTCCTGATAATAAAAAATATAAATTGATGGATAATGGTAGTTTAATGATACAGAACACTGAAGAAACTGATGGTGGTTTTTATGAGTGCCTTGCCAAAAATCCTGAAGGAGAAGTGAGGTCTAGACCTGCAAGAATGGTAGTTTATAATAGTATACAAAATGAAGAGCGTGGATTTTATGGTAAAAACCATCCTATACATATATATTTTTTTTTAATTTGATATCAAAATCTTTTCCAGGTATGCCTAAATTGCTTAGCGTGCCTCAGACAGTGTCTGTGACCCCTGGAACACCTCAAGTTATCTTTGAATGTAGAGCCACGGGTTACCCACAACCACAAATTACATGGTCTCATAACGGAAGAGCATTAGCAGCAACTTTACGTCACAATATCACTCCAGAAGGTACTTTAATCATTCGAAATATAGAGGGAAGTGATCATGGTACTTATCGGTGCGAAGCTGCCAATTATAACGGAAGAGTTTCAGCTGAGGCGAATATTTTGATCAAAGGTAAAATGGTTTTACCTACATTGAATTTGTTTTGGTAAATTATGTGTTTTAGTTGCACCCATCTTCACTGTTCAACCAGAGAATGTGGATACCTTAATTGGTGATACCATAAAACTTTTATGTGTTGCTTCGGGGACTCCTGTACCGCATATTACATGGTTTAAAGATGACTTAGAGGTACAGTTTTTGCGTTTCAGAAACAAAATAAGGTATGTGACGATTTGTTTTAGGTTCTTCCAAACGACGAGCGAGTATATTATAACAGTGACAGGACAGCATTTGAATTAAAAAATGCTAAAGAATCTGATTCAGGATTGTATGTTTGCGAAGCTAGAAATGACTTGGGGTCGAGGGAAGTTAGTGCAAAAGTTGTGGTAAGGATATCTATATCAGAATTTTGATTAATATCAACTTAAGAGCTGCTAATGATCATTCGAAATTTTGATTATTATCGGCTCTTGAGCTTTGACTGCCCTTAGAAAAATTCTTTAGCGAATCCAGAGTTGATAAAACTTTAATTTTGATTATCTGTGCATGGCTCTTGATCCATTGGATAATTTTTCTTGAGCCAATTAGAAGCTGCGGAAGAAGAAATTTTGAATATTATCAACTTAAGAACTTGTAATGATCATTCGAAACTTTGATTATTATCGGCTCCTGAGCCTTGACTGCCCTTAGAACAATTCTCTAGGGAATTCAGAGTTGATAAAAGTTCAAATTTTGAATATTACCGGCTCTTGATTGGTTCTAGGAAGGTTTTCCAAAGAATCAAAAGCCGGTAATAGTTCAAATTTTTATTAGCTGTGGCTCTTGATCCATTGAATAATTTTGATTATTATCGGCTCTTGAGCCTTGACTGTCAGTAGAGTGTTTTCACAGCTATCAGACCAATACCCACCTCTACCACGTAAAAACTCCCTTCCAGCACAGCCATCATACCACTATCCACCTCCACTGTAAACCTCCTTCCGTGAAGCTCCTACCCTGAGGAAGGAGGTACTTTTTTATATCCCTCCATTTTTTGAAAGCTAAAGAATATTTAACCAATTCTTCCATTTGTATTCGTCAATTTTGGGGTTGTCCCGGGCCAAATCCCCAAAATTTCAGATCAAAGGCGCCGCCGATCTAGAGATTTTCCCACGATATCGAGAAACTTCCCAAAATCAAGTGCCCCCACTATCAGACCAATACTCATCTCTACTACATAAATGGTTCACCAGATTCACAAATTTTGGGCTTGGCCCGAGTCAAATTCCCAAAATTTCAGATCAAAGGCGCTGCCGATCTAGAAATTTTCCCACGGTATCGAAAAAGTTCCCACACTCAAGTGCCTTCAGCTGTCAAACCAATACCCACTACACAGCTAACAAAGCAATACCCACCTCTGCTACGCTAAAAAGCTTTTACTCTGAAGAGGTACCACTTTCCATATCGCTTCACTTTCTTGAAAACTAGAGAATATTTAAACAATTCCTGTATTTGTATCCGTCACTAGTGTTCTAAACTCCATGGGATGTAGAAGCTCTAGAAATTTTCCTACGGTATCGAAAAAGTTCTCACACTCAAGTGCCTTTAGCTGTCAGACCAATGCCCACCTCACAGCTAACAAAGCAATACCCACCTCTGCTACGCTAAAAAGCTTTTACTCTGAAGAGGTACCACTTTCCCTATCCCTTCACTTTCTTGAAAACTAAAGAATATTTTAACAATTCCTGTATTTGTATTCGTCAATAGTGTTCTAGACTGCATGGGATGTAGAAGCTCTTGAAAGGATTCAAAATTAAAGGCAGACCGTTATTGTTAAAGGACCCTATCAAAGTTATATTGCAAAAATAGTAGTTGAGTAGAGTTATTGACAACCACCAACACTGAAAAAACTCAAAAATGAATTGTTGTTCCTCTACAGAGAATGTTCTAGCTCATATGAATTGTGAAAAATTACTTTCAGATTTTACAAGCGAGAAACTATTGAGAATTCCGTTGGATTATTTATTGGAACATGCAAAGTCCTTTGAACTTTTGGATGCATGGGGTAAATTACCAAAGAGTTACAAAAATAATTTGCTCCTTCAAATTAAGATACCATGCTTTATTCAATACAACAGAGCTGAATGGAAAACTCATTTTGATGGTCCACCAGATTCACAAGTAAAATGTAGTTATTGTAATAAAATGATTTTATCCAAAAAAAGTGCGTCCTCAGGGTAAGAGCTTCACAGAAGGGGGTTCACAGTGGAGGTAGGTAGTGGTATGATGGCTGTGCTGGAGGGGGTTTTTTACGTGGTAGAGGTGGGTATTGGTTTGATAGCTGTGAAAACACTCTACTCCTTAGAACAATACTCTATGGAATCCGGAGAAGTTCAAATTTTAACTATTACCGGCTCTTGATTGGTTCTAAGAAGGTTTCCAAAGAATCAATAGCCGGAAATAGTTCAAATTTTGATTATCTGCGGCTCTTGATCCATTGGATAATTTTTCTTGAGCCAATTAGTAGCTACGGAAGAAGAAATTTTGAATAATATCAACTTAGGAGCTGTCATAATGATCATTCGAAATTTTGATTATTATCGGCGCTTGAGCCTTGACTGCCCTTATAACAATTCTCTAGGGAATCCAGAGTTGACAAAAGTTCAAATTTTGATTATTACCAGCTCTTTGATTCGTTTTAGGAAGGTTTTCCAAAGAATCAAGAGCCGGTGATAGTTCAAATTTTATCCATTGGATTCCAATAATTGTTTGGAGGGTCAGACAAATAATAAGTCTATTGACAAAATGAAATAATCCATTACTTGAATAATATGTGGTGGCTACAATCAACAGCTGAACACCTTGCAAAGGGGTATTTGAATGAGAAAAAGCATGGTTCCATTCTGTTTGCGCTTACCTTTTCTTCGTACCGAACATCAAAATAAATTTTTTCTTGAGATTTTTCACCCTATTTCCTTCCTATTCTTAGGTATCAAAATTCGATTCAAAACCACCCAAGCTAGTGTACAAACCCTACAACATTGAAGCCCTTGTAGGAAGTACAATCGAGCTACCTTGTAAAGCAACCGGAGATCCAAATCCAGGCATTACTTGGCAGAAAGATGGCGCTAGAATGCAACGTACTGGCAGATTCAAGATTAGCCTCACTGGAAATCTTTATATCTATAAGGTAAGTTTGTTTCTAATAAACATACACTCCAATGCTAAAAACTCTGATATAGGTTGCTGCTGAAGACCAAGGTCGCTACGAGTGTCTGGCACAAAATGAACACGGTCGAGATTCAGCTTTTGGCTATATAACAGTGAAAGAAGACCCTTCAGTCACCACAGGAGCTATCGGCAATATTGGAGATAAATTTATTAAAATAGCTTTTACTGAGGCTTCAAAAGAAATTGACAAGGCTATCAATAACACAATCGACAACTTTTTGCATAACAAAAATCCCACTTCATCCGAATTGTTTAGGATTATCAGGTATCCTGATGCGCCAGCTAGAGAACTAGCTAGAGCAGCTGAAGTTTATGAGCGTACTTTGGTTAATATAAGAAAACACATAAACAAAGGGCACGTGACAATGAATAATACTCGTAATTTCAATTACCAAGAGATTCTGTCGCCGGAAAAGTTGGACCTAATTGCTAGATTATCAGGTTGTATGGCCCACAGGCTCACAACCAACTGTTCCGACATGTGTTTCCACTCGAAATACCGGAGCATCGATGGCAGATGCAATAATCTCCAACATCCCACCTGGGGTTCGAGTTTAACAGGCTTCAGGCGCATACTGAAGCCCATCTACGAAGACGGATTCGGGAAACCAATCGGCTGGGACAAAAAAAGACTTTACAATGGATTTGCGAAACCTTCCTCTAGAAAAGTATCGACGTCGGTGATTTCAACAACAAAAATAACTCCAGATCAAGAAATTACTCACATGGTAATGCAGTGGGGACAATTTTTGGATCACGATTTGGACCACGCCACGCCCAGCGTCAGTTCGGAAAGTTGGGATGGAATCGACTGTAAAAAGTCTTGCGATTATGCTGCGCCTTGTTATCCTATGGATGTACCTGAAGATGATCCAAGAATTAGTAACAGGTATACTTATTCTACATATCTAAATCCAGTAAAATTCTTTGGTTGTTGATGGATTATCGAAAAATTGATTATTTATGTGCAAAACTTTATCATCCTTGCCATGAGAGTCATTATAACATTTTCTTTTCAGACGATGTATAGATTTTGTACGATCCAGCGCCATATGCGGCTCAGGCATGACATCCATATTTTTCGATACAGTCCAACACAGAGAACAAATCAACCAATTGACTTCCTTCATTGACGCCTCAATGGTAAATCAAAACTTATAAACCAAAAACAGGGCATACATTATTAAACTTCTAGGTTTATGGTTTCTCTGAAGAATTAGCTCGCGAAATACGTGACTTGGACGCTCCTTTAGGTCAGTTAAAAGAAGGCCCAGTGTTCCAGGATAGAAAACCTCTATTACCTTATGCAGGCGGTCAAGGGATGGACTGTAGAAGAAATCTCTCGGAAAGTGACGTGAATTGCTTTTTGGCTGGCGATATTAGAGCTAATGAGCAAAGCGGACTCACTGCTATGCATACTTTATGGATGAGAGAACATAATAGACTAGCAAAAGAATTAAGGTAAAAAGAGTGCTCAAATCTATGACTATTTTTACCTTACAATGATACACTAGTATCTAAATTGAAAAAGGTTAATTAAATGAATATCATTATCTATATATTTCAGATATCTCAACCCCCATTGGGACAGTGACATGTTGTACCACGAAGCCCGAAAAATCGTCGGTGCAGCCATTCAGCACATAACTTATAAACATTGGATGCACTTCATAGTTGGTCCAGGCGGTATGAGAAAGTTGGGAAAATACGAAGAATATAATCCCCTACTGCACCCCAGCATTTCGAATGTTTTTGCTACGGCTGCTCTCAGATTCGGGCACACTTTAATCAATCCTGTTTTGAATAGGTAAGTTTTGCAACCTTTAAACAAAACAAAATAAATTAGGTAATTTCAGGCTTGATTGGGATTTCAATCCCATAAGAGAAGGACATTTGCCACTTCATCATGCATTTTTCTCACCGTGGAGGATAACAGAAGAAGGAGGCATAGATCCTTTACTAAGAGGCATGTTTGTGACTCCCGCAAAGAAAAAGTTACCCCAAGAAAACTTAAATACAGAACTTACTGAAAAATTGTTCCACACAGCTCATGCTGTTGCTTTGGATTTAGCTGCATTGAATATTCATAGGTAATATATGTGCCCTTTATTTCAAGTCATTATTCTGAGATATTTATTTTCTAGATCTCGAGATCATGCTATCCCAGGTTATTTAGCTTTCCGCGATTTTTGCAACATGTCAAAAGTAACCACATTCGAAGATCTGGCCAACGAAATTTCTGATCCTGAAGTAAGACAAAAACTAGCCGATTTATACGGCCATCCTGAAAATATCGACGTATGGGTCGGAGGAGTCCTGGAAGATCCCGTGGAACAAGGTCGCGTGGGTCCTCTATTTAGCTGTTTACTTCTGGAACAGTTTACCAGATTACGAGATGGTGACAGGTTCTGGTACGAAAATCCTTCGGTATTTAAGCCGGAGCAGCTGGTGCAAATCAAACAGTATTCTTTGGCACGAGTTTTGTGCGATAACGGCGACAATATTACAAGGGTGACGAAAAATGTGTTTCTACTGCCGGAATTGCAAGATGGAATTGTAAGTTGTGATGAAATTCCCAAGGTGGATTTGCGATTGTGGAGTGAATGCTGTAGTGATTGTAGGTAAGTGATACTTCTTTGAACTACAGGTGAATTTTGGTCATAGGTCAATAGGAATACAAATAGTCCAAAAACTTTTGATTTCTTCAGTGAGTGGGTAATGGATAATCTCTTTTTGGTCAAAAGTTTTTTTATCACTTCCTTTATCTAGCTTTCCTTCCACTTATTGTTTTCTTCTAATAATATTGTCACAACTTTATCCTGTCGTGACGGGGTACGTAGCGTTGGGTCAGGAGGATAGAAACTCGCTTGGTATTTAGTTTAAGGTATATTGTAGAGAAAATGTTATAATAGTAATTACCAAAGGATAGCCCTATGGTACATAGTGTCTCTTCTATGGGGACACATCAGGGGAGCTACCTGAAAGACACAAAGCTACGTTAGAAGCGATTCGCTGAAGTAAAGGGCCATCCAGAGGGGCTTTCCCAAAAGAGGAAATCCAAACCACGTGACATTCAACTTAGCGCGGCAGCCCCACATGGGTCAAAAAACACAAAAAACCTACTAGTTACTATCAGACTGAAGCAATTTGGGGTGATTTAGGTATCAATTTCTCAATTTTTCTGAGTGCCTTTTTTCATAGATTTCGGCTTCAAATCTGGGAATAACTTGGTGTATGGAGTTCGGGGGATATCAAATGATCATTGGGACACAAAATCTCAACAAAAAAAAAAATTGAAATTTCATCGTTTTAGTAAGAAGTTAGGTAGCTACCTTATGATTTAGATTTTGGAAAACTTTGAAGGGTCATAACTTTTATTCTATTATACATAGAAAGCTGAAATTTTCAGCGATTCTTATTCCTTTAGAGGACTACAATCTCTGAAAATTTCAACTCATTTGGACTTATAGTTCCTGAGATAAAATCGTGTTAAGCAATTTGGGGTGATTTATCAATTTTTCAATTTTTCTGAGTGCCTTTTTTCATAGATTTCGGCTTCAAATCTGGGAATAACTTGGTGTATGGAGTTCAGGGGATATCAAATGACCATTAGGACACAAAATCTCAACAAAAAAAAAATTGAAATTTCATCGTTTTAGTAAGGAACCTTATGATTTAGATTTTGGAAAACTTTGAAAGGTCATAACTTTTTTTCTATTATAGATAGAAAGCTGAAATTTTCAGCGATTCTTATTCCTGTAGAGGACTACAATCCCTGAAAATTTCAACTCATTTGGACTTATAGTTCCTGAGATAAAATCGTGTTAGAGTTTACGTACCTAGTCAACAAATATTTTATTGAATAATCAAAATCAAAGTTGCAAGCAAAACTCGAAGCAAAATAATTAAAATACGCATAAAAACACATATTCAAAATAAACTTGCTTGGCCGCCACGCCATATTGAATTTTTATTTATTTGTATTCCTATCGAGAAGAAAATCTAATCCACTGTACTAAATATTCTTTTTTGCATAGATATACTGGCCAATTGAATACCATCAGCAGATTGAACGCCCGGAGTAGAAGAAACGCAGATTCCGAAAAGAAACACGAAAAAGAATTGAGACACTTACGAAACAAAGTGTCCGAATTAGAAGACAAGTTGGATTTGGCTCTAAGAAAATTTGACGAGCTTTAACCCTGAAGGCGAATAAACACGTTGCATTAAGGCTTTGAAATTGCAACCGCTATTAACTTATTAATGCTACCGGCATTTATCTTTGTGTTCATTTCAAGTGTAGTTTTTAGTTTTCCTTCATTTAGTTTTCGTTGTGATATTTTGTAATAAGCCCTTGTTTTTATAGATTTGAAATGTGCCATGTTTGAAATGGCTTTAAAAATTTTAATCTAAGCTTTAAGCTATTTTAATTTTTAATTAAACGTATTGTCTGTCGTTTTTAATTTGACACTTTCCGTATGAGAAGCGAGGGGGTGAAGCATATGGCAAAAACAGGTGTGACGTCATTGGTGTTTTAACGTAGGGAGTCACCAGCTCACAATTTTTTGGAGTAGGTATCAGATTAAAATCGACGAACTTTACATTATCCATTTAGAAGTGCCTTAAAAAATGAATCTGTGCTTTGAAGATAATTGTAAATGTATCATAGGTACCAACACATTTAAAATAATAATTCTTATTGTCAGTTTTAATAAACCTTATAACAGTGTTATTTTCCTGAGTTACCCCCTAAATCCCTTTAACCCCATTGCAGGCTGTTGCCCTCAGAGTTATCCAAAAAGCCCTGTATTAACGTCCACCAGTTACGCAAGCAATCCGTCCACTACGACGAAAAAATCGTGAAAAAATCTATCATGATGACATTGACTGACGATCAGTTTTTTTAGTTATCGGAAAGTTACGATATCGAGAGACTCAATTTTTCATTTTCCCTAGTTGACCTTTTATTTTCTTCCTAGTTCACATTATATTTAACTCATTTGTTCTTTGTGCGAAATTAAATACCTACAATAACATCCAGTTAACTATTTTCGTGTACCCATAACCAACAAAAAAATTTCTTATAACCTTTTGAAAGCATACTGTATGTTTACAGGACTGAAATAAAATCCAAAATTGAATATAAAATCATTAAAACCCAATCCCGAAAAAGAAAACCAAAGCTCTGTCAATTTTCTTTTCCAAGATAAGATTTACTATGCATCTATTTACTTTGCAAATATAGTTACAAATTGTATATAAAATATAAGTCCTTAAGCTTAACAGGGGAAAGGGACAAAGTACATCAAAAAGGGTAATAATAAATTACAAACATCCGCACAAACATTTACAAATAATAATACACAAAAGCCAAGCTCTCACTATTTTCCAATAAGTATATACAGGGTCGTTACAAAATTTCTATAAAGACAAGCACACAAATAGCCGAAAATGTATATCACTAGTAAAATACCTTGGATAATTATCACGCCCTGTATAAAGGCAGGGTTATTCAATATGATTTGGATTGGTGTTGAGGTTCAAGTATATTTTTCTCAAAGATATTGGTAAAATTTTAGCAAACAATCTTAAGCTGGGTATGTATAAAAAGGCATCACTTTGCGACAGCCTACGAAATACTTAAATATGTATGCCTATACTTACATAAGTCTATTTTTATACAGTCTATAAACTAATCAAAACTGGTACAATTGTTTTTGCTTTATAGAAAAAGGAGTTTGATAAGGGACTTTTTTTTTTTGGAAAACCATCAATTTGATGTAAAAATTATTGACTAGATTTTTGTTGCACTACGTCTAAAGTTGAGTTTTTCGCTCTTCAATTAGGTGCCCTAAGAAAAATGTTTAGATGTATTTATGTAATAAAGAGTCACGACTCAATGGTTGGAATATATTATTCAATAAATTTATTCACCATATTTATAATAGAAATTGTTCTTTATTGTCTATTGATACTTTTTACTTGAATAATTGTAGGCAACAAATAACACCGATATGAAACACCTTTTTCTAATTAAAGCACCCTAAAAACTAATGGAATTTTATAAAAAGGATATTTACGACACTTCTGCGCAATAATCTAGTGTCTCAGTCCGAGCATAACTTGTTTACACCTAAAGGTACAGTCACAATAAAAATAAACATAATGGTTCACTAGAAAATAGTACGGGTTAATTTGTTCAAGAAAAAAAATCAGAAGCTACAATCCTATAACAAATTAATAAATAACTTATTTTCTCAATTATTGCAAGTTAATACTTCTATCAGAATAACTATCTTCTGCTAATTTTTTGTGAATTATTCAAATCTTGCAGGTAACAGTAAAGGATACCAGCTTGTGCCATTACATCTACTGTTCCTGTAGCCAAACTTTCTCGTTGCTTTAATCCATCCTTTTTGGTGTTTTCAGCTTTCGACACTGCAGGACGTAACAGTGTTGGGCCAAATACTGTAGCTAAATTGTGTAGGGACATTTTGTTGTCATCTTCATAAGCATGAACCCTATGTAGAAATTATTTAATATAAAATCTTTTTGACAACAAAATTCTTACCTCATTAAATGATCCAAAATACACCTTATGCTCTCCTTATTTTGTGGTGGTAACTTTTCAAAACAACTATTTAATAAATCCGTTCGCCTCTTCAGGTTACCATTGCTCTGATTGAAAGCTTCTAGCAGTTCTGGATAGAGCTGGTCAGAAAATAGAGCTTCTGGCAGTTCTCTAAGATATAGTTTTAGGATACCTGTCACTGAATGTATGTCCACTTCTTTTAGTAATTGTTCAGCTTCATAGGAATCTAAAAAGAATTGATTTACTTAGTGATATGAAGTTTTGTCCAGTAAAATCACTTACTAGTTTCAAAAGATTTTTTCAGCTTAGTTATATCAGTTTGTGAACCAGAAACTCTATAAACACCAACTTCACACATTCCTCGCCTTTCTACTTCCCGAATACAGGCCGTTATTATGAAAGGTATGTTTCTTTTTTGTCGCCTGAAAATCACAAACGAATTTTCATATTTTATTGAAAACAAGTTGAAATATTTTGTACTTACTTGCATACAACTTGTATTTTCTCTCCAAAAAGTGAACCAACTTTTCCAGCAGGCACTCTCCGTAAACTAACCTCACAAGGAACATATCTCAAGCCCATTCTAAGGGTGCAACCATTAATCTAAAAAACAAAATATTATTCACGCATAAAAAAAAAAATCAAATCCTTACTGATAATTGTCTATCAACAGTTTGATCTCCCAGCCACTTCCTGTTTAACTTCATAGTGTGTTTACCAAAAAGTGCATCGTGAGGCTGGCCCTCTCGATAAACTAAAATCCTCATATTTTCGCAACCTTCAAGATCCACAACAAAACTTTCATTCCAGTGCGGATTCTGAGTATGCTTTGCCGTTTTCGTTTTGGCTTTTTGAAAAAAGTGCCCATAAAAATCAACTTCGATACAAACGTACAAATCTAAATCAAGCAAAATAAATAGAGATTTATTATTGGGATTGAATTATTATTAATTATTACCACAAGTGAATTCTAGCCCGTTCATGTCGTAGACGTGCAAATGCAAGTCTCCAACTAGCAAACTTTCGTCCTTTCCGCTTCTAAGCAAATAAGAACCCATGTTTGTTTTTAAGTATTGCCGACAAGCAGTTATCCACGTTTGTAGTTCAAACATGCTGAAATGCGCTGCTGTTGTTGGTTGTTTACCAGTTCGCTCAGTCCTCTAAAAAAGTCACACAGTGAAAAAGTTTCTGGCAACAAAAAACACTTACCTGTAAAGTTTGTATTGCCTCAATCCATTGTGTCCTTTCGAAATCGCTCGACAAAAAGAACATGTAGGTGCGCCCAGTGCCTCTATGTTTAATTCTATAAACTAAATTCGGGGAGACTAATACTAGTTGACTTTCGAGTTCTATCAGTCTTTTTCTGAACTTGTCTGAACCTCTGCTGGACTTTAGACGGTGCTGAAAGAATAATTAGGATGTTAGCGAGTGAAGAGAAACAAATAAATCTGGCAAAACTAAATTTAGCCTAAAAGTTGGGTATGTTTACCTCAAAATAATTCAATTTATAACGAAAAGTTAAATATTTTTTGTAGTACATTAATCACCTTTAGTAAAACTTCATCATTATGAAACTAAAAATTCGCTTGTTCCGCTTCATTTGTCCAGCAGTTTATTATTGTTATAAATGCTGTAGATGAATCTACCAGACCTAATCTGGAAGGGGAAGGTGATAATAAAGCATACAGAGTGCTAGAAAGGGGCTAGAGTTTAGATTATCACAGTAAATTGTGAAACCTCAGCATCGCTTGCTTGGGAAGCGCTGTGGTCTTTTGGTCATACTGGGTTACTTAACATGTGACGCCGCGGCCGCTCACCCATTTAAAGCAGCGAGCCCTGAAAAACGAGGAGTACGCTGCCAGCAGCCAACCAGCACCGAGGTAAGCCAGCGGGATCGCCCAGTAATGGTCTCCAGAGTGCCGCGCGCCGCGTTTCAGGTTAGGTAAAAATATGGTAAGAGTTAGTTTTATATTTGCTCCATTTTCTTTTATTCCTCCTCTGTTTCCTCCACCCTTGGTTGATGTCCGGGTGATCCTTTATTAACATTATTGCTTACCTCACCGTTTTGCTCATATACGCACGCTCCGATCACCGATCGTACTCACCCTCTCACTATCGCTCGCATTATTCATTTCTATACTTGAGTTTGGTTATTGATAGATAATGTTTTAGTCTATTGAATACTGCACATACAATTTGTGCTATAACCGAATTTGGTGTTTGATTTTAACACGGAGCTTTACAGGAAATTTTCAGGCTTTTATTTTGAGATATAGTCAGGTTGAGCAACAACGTCTGATGTGACCCCTGGGTTACCGTTTCTCCACTGTAACAAGCTACCTGGTGCACGTGGGCCCTCAACCACTTTAATATTGAGAGTGGCGCCGTCAGTGTTGCCACAGGTGGCCCCATATGGCCATTTCTAAGACGGCGTGGCCCGTTGGCCACCCTTTTTCGAATCTGGCCCGTTTTTCCATAACAAGCCAAATCGTTATTTTTTCATGCAAAATAAACGTTTTTGGGCGTGGCACCCGAAAAAAATTTCTGCCTCCGGCGGCGCCAGCGGCGGGCTTTCTCTCTTCTTTTCTTCTTTTTAATTTGAAAACCTTTTCAAGGGACGTCCTGGCGCACTTTAGTCGGTGTTGAATTTCCGCGTCAATATTTGCTTTCTGGAAAGATGACTATGGAGGTCTGGAAAGTATTCTATATTGATGATAATTATAGCTGGATCTGGTGCATTCGTTTTTGGGGCAGGCTGGTATGAATTTTTATCTTTTCTATGTTGAGTTCTAGACGGATCCAGGTCATTGGATCCTTAAAACTAATCTCTAGACTAAACCAGACCCATGTGTTTGTAATTATTTATTCAAAGTCAAGAATAATCTCTGACCCACGTTTTATAACGAACCCAGATGTCAGAATTATATATTATATTCGAAGCATATGTGTGTGTAGAGAAACAATAATTACATGAGCTGGATTTTAAGATGCAATAACCAATTGTATAATAATAATATAATTATCAAGTGTTATTACTATAAGTCAAATGCTTAGTTATAATTAAGATAGGTGAATTAAGATAGAAGTGATTACTCAATTATTTTAATATTATATTAGTAGAAAATTAACTTTACGACCGGTTCCGGCATCTATACGACGCAGGCAAGTGGTACCGCTGCCCTGACTCAAACCAGTACTGCTAATACTGGGGCACCAGGTACAACTCAGGTACTCAATCCGCCGATACCGACTATAACCATTCACCAATCGCTGCCTTCTCCAGTCGTTTCCGGTCCTCTGGGAATCGCATTGGAAGTACATAAATGGAACATCCATTTCAATGGACGAACCGACCCAGTGACTTTCATGGAGAGGCTACAGGGTATTTGTTCCTCCCACTAATAGACTGATTACTGCCGCATATTCCTGAAATTTTACAGGGTGACGCATCCTTCTGGTTAGAGAAATCATGCTCTCGAGCTACATCAGCCATTTGGTCATGCCGAAGACTTGTTGGCAAAACATGGGGGCTAAAGCCAAAGATGGTATTCTGGATCTACCAAACCATAATAAAGCCTATGGTCACATACGCCTCATTGGTGTGGTGGCCCAAAACCCAACAAGTCACCGCTCAGATTAAGCTAAGAAAGGCGCAAAGGCTGATATGTCTAGGAATAACGGGAGCAATGTCAACTTGCCCCACCGCAGCCCTAGAGACGCTACTCAACATGCCCCCACTTCACCTATGTGTGAAAAAGGAGGCAATAACCAGCGCTCACAGGCTATTCCAAATAGACAAGTTCAAGCCTGGCGATCTGAGGGGACATCTGAAAATCGTTGATCTAATAACACTGGAGAATGCCAGCAAACCAAGTGACCACATGATGGTCAGATTGGACTTAGAGATCCCCTTCGCAGTGGTAATAAACGAACGCCAATCATGGGAGAATAAAGAACTACCACAAGCAGACAATGCATCTCTGTGGTACACAGATGGATCCAAGCTAATGGTAGGAGCTGGACTGGGCATTTCCGGCTCTAACTTCAAGCTCTCCAAGGCATTGGGTAAACATCTTACAATATTTCAAGCCGAACTGCTTGCCATAGATATATGTGCACAAGAGTGTCTTAACCAAAGCCTCAAAAGAAAACACATCTTCATACTATCGGACAGCCAAGCTGCCTTAAAGGCTTTCAAATGCACGTCAAAACTAGTCTGGGAGTGTAAACAGACCCTAAAAACACTAGCGACACATAACCAGGTAACGCTGATGTGGCTGCCTGGTCATCGAGGCATAGAAGGAAACGAAGGGCCAGATGGCCTCGCAAAGGAAGGGGCCTCGACACCATACCATGGACCAGAGCCCTACTGTGGCTTAATGAAAAGCCACATCATGGAAGAACTCAACAAATGGGAGAAAGACCAACTGTCATCATATTGGAGGCACACACCGGGACTCAGACAGTCAAAAAGGTTTATTACCCTTTCAGCAAAAAGAGCTGAACAGCTCCTAAGCATGAGCAGACCAGACATCAGATTGGTGGTGGGACTGCTCACAGGACACTGCCCAGTAAAATACCATTTAAGGTTAATGGACAGAGCAGAAGACGATCTCTGCAGATTCTGCTCAGACGCAATAGAAACCGCAGAGCACCTGCTCTGCGAATGTCCAGCCCAATTCTGCAAGAGGCTCAAATTCCTCGAGGGGGCAACACTGTCACCAGAAGAAGTGGGCCAACTGACACCCAGGAAAATAGCTTCCTTCGGCAGAAGTCTACGCTTCCTGGAGACAAATTAAGATGTAGAGTCACGCACAAAATATCTGCAAAGGTAGTAGTGCTGAGCGGCTGAAAAGCCGAAACGACTCCCCCGAAATCTACAATCTACAATCCTTCTGGTACCGAAATAACCGAGCTCAATGGAACACCTGGGACGAATTTCTGCAGGATTTTCGCAGCTTTTATTTTCCGATCAACTATGCTGCCGGCCTGGAGATCGAAATTAGCCGCCGGCTCCAACAGCCGAACGAGCCAACCCACCAGTATATCACGGACTTGCAAACCCTCATCAGAAGGCATGGAAACATAACCCCGGACCAACAGCTTCAATGGTTGTATAGAAACCTGTTACCCAAATACAGACAACATATTCGGAAAAGCGACACTATGGATGTAGTTGCATTTTCCCGTACTTCAAGAGAAATTGAAAGCCTATTATCTGAACTGAAGGCAACCCCGTCAACATCTAGGAGTACACACCGCCCACGGCGCCCCTGGCTTTTCTGTAACCCATAACCCGTTCACAAATCCAGCAACAGCGAGAGAGAGGTGGGGAACAAAACCGGAGAACCAAATGGCCTAAGGGCCAGTATTATAAAGTTAATGAACCGAAGGTTGAGTTTCAACCAGCGGTTGAACTGAAATGTCCATATAAAATCATACGGAAATGTCAGTTCGACCGCTGGTTGAAACTCAACCTTCGGTTCACCAGCTTTTCAATACCGGCCCTAATAGAACCGAATCGTACCAACGGAATTCTAGACGAGACAAACGGTCTGAATCAGTGATTTGCTGGAAATGTGGAGAAATTGGACACTTCAGAACAGGGTACTGCAAAATTATTCTGCTCTCGTTGCAGAAAACCGGGTATAATGTCCCAAGACTGCCCATGTAACCGTTACCGTTCGGAAAACTTAAAAGGTGCGGTCCTACTCCGAGGTCAGCCCAGCATCACAGCCAGCACTGTGAACTAAGAACCTCGAATAGATATATTTTCTGAAAGACGTAAACCAATATGTAAACCGATTCGTCTATCGATTCGTCGATCACATGTCTACATTTATATCGACGAGGCTGCTCTTTCTTAGCTTTAGTCGATACCGGAGGGCGTGTAATCGATAATTCTAAAGCTTACCAAATACCGTTACAGCTCGGAAACATTCCACTGACCGAAACCATCAGCTGCTTTCCGAATTTGACGTCCGACATTGTGCTTGAGATGGATATTTCGAGTCGACACAAATTCCATCTGGATTTGGGCAGTGGCGAGATTTATCTGAATAATCTGTATAGATGTCCCACCGAACCTGGAAGTGCTTTTAAAGAAGTTTCTGGACCGAGAATTGCTAAAGCTTGACCAAGTCACAGGTACCACCCCGGTCCTCAGAATCCCAAAATGCAAGAACTAATCAACACCGGAGAATGTTGGAATCATTGAATCGTCCGACAGCCCTGACTCAAGTTCATCGGTTGTCATTGTGAAAAGAAAGGATGGAAAACCCCGTTTCTGCATTGACTTTCAAAGAATGAATACCGTTAACCGAAAGGATGCCTACCCACTTCCATTTATCAACTCCATGCTAGATAAATTACAAAGAGTTCGATACATTTCCAGCATCAACCTCAAGCAGGGATATTGACAGATTCTTCTTGCCGAGAAAAGTAAGTCTATTACAGCTTTTACAGCACCTGGAATGGGTCTATACCAGTTTCGAGTAATGTCCTTTGGATAACATAGGTAAAAATGTGGTAAGAGATAGTTTTATATTTGCTACATTTTCCTCCACTCTTGGTTGATGTCCGAGTGATGTTTTGATTAGGAGCTGGTATAAAATACGCTCCGTGTTCATTACGTGTTAGAAGGACTGTTGCTTTGGTTTCTTCCGCGCCTAAGCTTTTTGCCTGCCTCATTATTTTAACCGTCACGGCTAAATTGTTGGTATTCCGCTATTAATAGTATTGCTTACAGAAACAGGAGGGTAGTCTTGACCGATACCCCAAGATTAACAAATTTGCAGATTATTGTCTAACTTTTATCTCGGCTTACCTCACCATTTTGCTCGTTTTATTGTGAGATGTAGTCAAGTTGAGCAGCAACGTCTCATATGACCCCTGGGTTACCGTTTCTCCACTGTAATAAGCAACTTGGTACACGTGGGCCCTCAACCACTTTAATCCTGAGGGTGGCGCCCAAGATAAGCGTAGGACAAGAAACCGATTACCGAACTACTTCGCTTCCGTACAAAAAGCGCCTTACAGCAAAAACTGAATTATTTTCAGATAAAGCCCCTTTATACACCTACTTGTAGCTCTATAATTCAGAATGTCACCCTAACAATAATCTAGATCCAACTCTAGCTTATCAATTCAAGAGTCACATACCTTAAACGACCTAAATAATGTTGAAATCTTCAAACATAAAATATGATGGGCAATTAAATTTCATCTAAAAATAATAAAACCTCCTTTTACCTTTTCTTCATTCAACTTTTCCTCTTGCCTCAATTGATCTCTGATGTTGCTTGCTTGAGATTTTAAGGACACAATATTCGATGGCGACGTTTCGTGTAAATTTGCCATAGTCTCTTCCAGAATGAGAATATCTTCAACCGGTATAAACCATTTGAGTTCGAAGGTGTATTTTTCGTTTCTACCTGAAGACTAAAAAAACGAAACATTTAAAAAAACATCATGATAATAATTATTGTATAATTACCTTATATTTGGCACACGCTATGACATCATTAAACAAAAACAGATGCCTCAATTTCCTATGACTGTCCACGTATTCGACAATAAAAGAATTCTTAACTAGTCTTCTTTGAGCTCTATCGGTAGCAGGAAACATTGATTTGGTTTGAATCATGTTGAATTGATCCAAAAAGTTTTGGGTCATATTCAAAGCTTCAGAAAGACTGTGATGGTCCGCATGATTTTGAGGTATGTATCTAAGTAAATCATGTAAGACTAGGGCATTTTTTTGGACTCTAAAATATAATTTAATTAGGTTTGCTTATTGGACATTGTGACATTTATACCTTGCTACTGGTTTATGTAAAAGATCTTCCAAACTAATCGCCTGATCTGACAAATGTTTGCAAGTTATATTTTTAGTTATATGGGCAAACTGTGAATTATTAGCACTGCATTTCCTTACGGTATCCAAGGCCTGCCCGTAATTACTGAGAAAGGCTCCATATAAAGACAAATTTGATGCCTACAAGAAAAATTTGCTATAGCAAAAGTGGCTTTTGAGCCTAATACCTGCACTTACCATTACTTTAAAACTATCCCCAATCCTACTGTCCCATTTTTGTGAATGCCTTTTTAGAGCTTCCAAAAAATTGGCATGTAAATTGTACAGTTCAGGTATTTTGTAAAAAATTGTGGTTGATTCTGCTTCACTCACTATTGGCTGTGATGTACCAATAGTAGCTTGAATTGCTTTCATGTACTGATAATTGAATTAAAAAAATAATGACTATAATGTATTAATTAAGATTAATCTTCACTCACCTTTAACAAAACACTCAACCATTCAACATAATTTGTTTCGCTGTCGATAATATTGCTGACAATGCTCCTATACATTCTGTCAGGTTCACTTTCTCCATCCTTAATTTAAAAAAAAAACATTAAGATAATACTATTAAAAAACCAATTACAGGCTGCTTACTTGACTAAATTTCCTTCTAGAATGAGGTGTAGTAGACTCTAAAGAGCTAGAGCTGGCATAAGAGCTGTTGTCATTGGTTTGGCCAGTTAATTCAGGCAGTTCTTCATGTTCATCCTCACTGCTACTGTGGTCATTACCGTTTTTCTTTGTAGATCTGGAAAAAAACAATGTTGAAAATCTATTTGTAGATAATTGAATTCTTCAAAATGGAAAACTTTTCCACAAAAAAAAAACATTGAAATCCCAAAAAAATCATTAATAAAGATAATTACAATAGAATGATCCTCTTTATCAGTTGAAAGCAATAAAGATAAATGAGATATTGCCCCCTAATACACATCACTCGATAAATTAGTTAGAGAACCGAACACTTTAAGCTATTATTGGACACATAATCACAACATAATATTGCCCAATATTTATTTGAATAAAAACTACTTACTGAATAAAATACTCAATATTAACATAATTTGAAGTGCCAGGACTTTGTGGTTCGATGGAATGTTGCGTTTTGAGGTCCAAAGGTAAAGTGCTGCTAGAACCAAAAACATTTTCAGTGCTGGAATGATCGCTTCTAGCCAAAAATTCTTCTTCGGGAGCTACCATGTCGTAATAAGGTTCATCTGGATTGTTAAGTATCTCGGAACTGGAAGATACTGAATCACTGTTGCTACGATGAGTGTCAAAATTGGTATTCTTTAACGAATCTGGCCTAGCAGGAATCCTAAAAATAATTATTGACATGTATTTTTTTTTTTTTCAATCAAGCAACATACTTTGGTGGTTTCTTTAAAGCGAGCACAGGCAAATCTTGTTCTTTCTTGTTCAAACCGTTCACTTCGATGACAGTTACAAAGGTGGCATCGTGGTCTTGTACTTCGTTTTCCGAGGAAGTCACTTTGTCAGAGGCATCAGAGTGTGACTTTCTGAGCTGTTTGGAGATTTCGTTGATGCACATGTGTGCTGAGAAGGATTCATTGTTGTCTTGGGATAGAATGGATATATCGGCTGAAGCACGCTGAAAAAGCAAAGAACAATTATTGAGACCGATTTTCTAAAACTATCAAAAAATTAGGACATGGATATGTCAATGTGTGTTTCAAGAGTTAATAAATCTGTGAATCAATGATGGAAAAATTTGTATATTGATGTTTTCTCTTATTCTAATTTAGTCTGGAGGATTCTGTTCTTAGGTATATCTTGCAATATTTGTTGAAATAATAATCATTCAACAAATAGAAGAGATCTAATATTTTGCAGTTGTTCCTTTTCCTCACATTAAAAAATGGAATTGAACCCATTCAAAACTGTTCCAAAAGATCACCTGCAGCTAAAACACGTAAAGAATCATTCGCCAACTCAATATAACAAAACTTGAGTCTTTCCAATAATTACACAACATATAACTGTAACATTATTTTATTTTTTAATAAACTAAATATAGAAATTGATTAAAATTCATAAAAATAAATACGAAAATCAATTTCCTGTATTGCAAGTGTGTGACCAAGGACGTACAAAAGTTAATAAATCAAGTTTACCATAAGTCTTTCGCAAACATTAATTATTATAAACAAAAAATTTCTACAGCCAAGATAAACAAAGTGCCTATACCCACATCTTTTAGTGATAAGACATAAATATGTAAAGGAAAATCCAAGTGTTTCGTATATATGAATTAATCATAGCCAATTCACTTATAAGCTAAATAAATACAACAATAGAATGGCAGATAGGCTCACATATAAAGTAGACTTCAATCTAAATTGCTAATTTACAACTTATGTAAATAAGCCGAGGATGTGCTGGTTATATAATTTACATTTGGCGAATTTGTGGGACCTATACAGTGTCAATAGCCCCATGAAAAACTAAATTTAAATAGAAATATCTTCTAATTACATAATATTAAACTAGTATTTGTTGAATTGTTAATGACTAGGTCCTATATAAAAAATGTTCTCATGCAAATAAATGAATACAGATTATTTAAGCCTATCAAAATGCCATTATTTACCAGCTTTAAAAGCGTAAATATAAAACAATAACCAATTAAATTCAAGGCGTTACTTTATTGAATCAATTGAAGCACTTTAAATGTACTTTTTCCAAACTCAATTGGAACATTCTATATTCTTATACATACACGATTTAAGATAGGTATTTTGAAGACAATTTTGATCAAATTAAATATAATTTTTAATGTATTGAGGATGGACCCATGTTGAGTTTTCACCAAATTTTTGGCCATTGTAGAGTTACAATTGAGCCAGAATGGCTTAAGAAAATTAATTAGAGAATTAAACTTGAGCCTAAGCAGTTCAAAAAGGTGATTTTTGACCTTCAGCCATAGAAGCCTAAAAATCTTATAATCAGCTCTCCTAGAGCTGAAGTTGAGAGTTGACGTTTGAACTGAAGGAGCAAGAAAATTCTTTATTGTGCTTGTCTAAAGTTGAAATTGAATTAGAAAGGTAAACTGCATTTTCTGATCATTCTAAAACTAGAGTTGAGCTGTGTAGATCCAAAATTGAACTCAAGAATCTTAAAAATCTTACCCATCTTTGCTGGATCAGAAACTTCAACTAGAGGTGCATCATGAACATCTTATTCCCTGCTCTACTAGAGTCAAAATTGAACTAGACAAGTATGAAACTTTCTGACGATTCTAGAGTTAAAGTCAAGCCAAGACAGTTTACAAAGTATATTTCTGAATTTTGTAGAGTAGAAATTCAATCGGAGACGCATAGAAATCCTAAAGACTGAAGCTTTTCAGGGCCCTGAAACATTCAAAGACGTCAGTGTCTGAAGGTTTAGTCACAAGGTTGGCAAAAACCCAGGTTTTTGAAAAAAATTTTGTGGGTTATTGTAAGAGTTTTTGTGTTTATTTAACTACACAAAATTGTAAATTTGTTTCAACTTCTAACAGTTTTGCACCTGAGAAGCTTCAAAATTGAATTTATCGAACATTGAAAGTTTTCCAAAAATGACACTACAAACCTAATAATTGAAATTTAAATTCGGTTTCAACAGTTTTGCACCAGAGAAGCTTCAAAATCGAGAGTTAAAGTCATACTAACATGGAAGGTTAAGGGGTTTTTAAGAAACACCAGTGGCGTACACTCGATCGACCTACGAATGCAGATTAATACTAAAATATACATATACAGCACCTTGCAGGACTTGATAGGACTAGGCAGGACTTGAAAGGACCTGGCAGGACTTGACAGGACCCGTACGGGACTTAGTACGACCCATACACGAATTGGCAGGACCCTCGGCAGGACCCATATAGGACTTGGCAGGACTATCAGAAATGATATTTATTGGTTAGCAAAATCAGCTGCAGGACTTGAAAGGACATTGCAGGACTTGACAGAAGCTGGCAAGACATTGTATGATTTGACAGGGCCTTGCAGGAATTGACAGGACCTTGCAGGACTTGACAGGACCTTGCAAGACTTGACTGGACTAGGCAGGCCTTGGCAAGACCCATACAGGATTTGGCAGGACCTGACAGGACTTGTCAGAATTGTCAGAAATGATATTTACAGTTTTTCGACATTCACATTTTGCGATTACATCTTTCCCAATTGTAATTCAGATTTTTCAAATGTAATTCAGATAACCACATTTGTGATTCAGATTTTTCCACGGATTTTTCAAATGTAAATTCAGAAAATTTAATTTGTGATTCAGGAAAGCTAAATTGTAGGTAAATCAGATAACATCAGATCAATATTTTGTGGGATGGTCCGCTCTGGTTCTTAGTGCTTCAATTTCAAATCTCAGATAATTTAAAAACCAGGTAAATTAAATATAAGCAGAAACCTTGTACAATGTACATACATACATACATATATATAGATAGCTACAGGGTTTCTGACTGTGAACAAAGGGATGTTTAAAATTACATTGTTCTATGAATATTAAACCAAACAAATTTTCCTCGACATTTTCTGAATAACAAATGAGATTTTTTGAATTACTTTCGAAAAATCTTAATTACAACTGAGATTTTCTGGATTACATTTGAAAAAGTTGTAGTCTTGTTACAGTAATATTATTATTCAGGTATTGCTGCTTGGTCATGCGATTTTTTATTTTATCTACAAGCGTTTAGTTATGACGTTTTTACATAACTATTTTTCCAGTATTTGAACTATGTCATGAGGCTCATAACACAACTAGTTGTGTTATGGGCTAGGTTATGAATTCATAACACAACTATTTTTGGTTATTTGACAAATGTCAAAGGTAAACCTGTAAAGGTAAAATGAAGGTATACAAGACTTATAAACGAAAATGTTTGAAAAAAAATCTTATTTTTCGCTATGTAGATAAAAAGTTGTACATCACACGTGCGTTTAAACATGACTACAAAACTCGTGTGATTAGAACGACTCGGTCTACGACCTCGTCATTCTAATCTTTCACACTCGTTATTGTAATCATGCAAAAAACCTATTGCGATAATAATAAATAAAAAAATAATGCGGAAACGGCAAAAAACTGAATGATTTCACACAAAAATTCGAAATTCAAAATTCAAAGACCCGAATCTGATATTTTTATGTGTCAAATCAAAATGTCATGTATCATTATTTGATAGTTGTCAAAAAAAGGGACAGATCTGGGGATTTTATTTATTTTCAACTGGTGAAAATAACGGTCAAAATTCAAACTCTATCGTGAATACGACTATACCTATAAAACTGAGTATAAAACTTTGATTTCTGACAATTCTAAAATTAAAGATACCTAAGCCACAGCAGTTCACAAAGTTTTTTTCTGAATCTCATAGCTTGCCTCATAGAGTAGAAATTTTAAAAAAAATTCTAAAAAAATCCTAAAAAGACTGAAGTCTTCCAGAACCCTGATTCTAGTCTCCAAGGGTTGAGAGCTTAACTCGAAGGTTAATTTATGAACAAAGACAAAAGTAGGGAGATTCTAAGATTTCAAAGATCCTCTGAAGAATCCGAGGAAGAATCTATAAAGATTTGAAATACTTTTTTCATCAATAGACTAGAAAATGTTTTTTAAGATATAATAGTGAAGACTCTTGAAACTCCAAAAGAATTATAATGCCCTGTAAACAAGAACTTCAAAGATTCCAAAGACTATATCTCGGACTATACGGATTGAAACTCATGACTTAAAACCAAAGACCTAAACATATTTTTACCACTGAAAAGCGTTTGAAGATTCTGGATCTAAAGATTTAGACTACTATTTAAAGTATTATTTTTTATAGATTTTCAAAACAAAGCACTAAGGATAAATTGACGGATTAATATTATTAAATAGAAAAATAGGTGGAAACTATGTACTTAGTATTTTCATCTTTTTTCCATTTTAGAAAACCCCTTTTTCTTTGGGCCAAAATCCTGGCAGTTTCATCTCGAATCTTCCTGTCCTAAATGGAAGTTTCTAGATGAAATTTCCTGGCAATCCCCTCGGCAATCCCTCATTATAAATGATGGCTGACAAATAGAGATGGCAAATTCTCGAGAATTTATTTTGAGAGAACTTTCGGGAACATTGGAGAATTTTGGAGAATTTCAAAGATTATTCCACTCATGTGTTAGAAATCCCATAAGACAAGTGACGATTTTCAGAATTACAGCGAAAATTCTCTTTTCCATTTGTTTAACTAGAGAGAATTACAGCGATAATTCTCCCATGTTATTGTATACATGGTTGTCATGCTAATTTTTGATACAAACAAACGGTTTCTGATAGCAACCAGCAACCATCTATTTGTATTGATTGTTAAGATGTTCAAATCGTTTAATACATATTTATTTCCATATTTTTTGCATTCTCATACGTGAAATAATCCTCTAAATACCACTTGAGCTTTAAAATGAACCAAATAATTTTTCACTCATGCGTGTTTTCTCTGCAAATTTCACTCGTCCTACGGACTCGTTATAGAAAACACGCAATCGTGAAGAATTATCGGTAATTTTGAAGCTCTCGTGGTATTATCCCCGAATATAGCTTCTTATGAATCATTTGGGGTTTTTTGCATTTTTTTGGTACAACAAATTTACATTGAAATTTGTTGTCGTTATTTTGTCTAAAATATTTCCATATCAAACCTCTTGGTCACATTTTTGAAGGGATTTCCTCAAAACTTTCATTTCCAATTGGTATAGAAATCATTGAGGTAGAATGATAAGGAGGCGACATGAGGAGAAAAAAGCGTATCCACTTCCGCCATATTGTTACTACACTTCTGTCTGAGATTCTGTCACTTTTGTCATAACAACGTGTCAGAATTGTATCAGGGCCGCATTCTCCATCCGAAGATTTTTTTAAATGTGGATACTACCTCAATGGTAAAAATAGTGTAGAGAAAATGTGCTTGTGTTTCTATCTGTTTCTTTAATAACAGACAGAGAGAAAGAGCTGGAAATTCACTCAGTACTCAGTGACACCAGTACGCATTAAATCTAATCTACCAATCGAAAACGTCTATGGAATCAGGGGATTTACCGGATTTTACCCGAATTCATTATTTTCATTTCAACCTAACCTCAATACGAAGCTAGTGAGTATGTGCAAGGCTAAGGTGCAAGGTGATACATTTAAAAATTATAGGTAACTTTCCATAAATTCTTGAAAAGTACCATACTCTATGGTTACCATATATTCTCATCTGATTCTCATAAATTCTTGAACCTAAAAAAATTATAAATTCTCGAGAATTTAAGGCCAGAGAATATTCTCAGTAAATTCTCTGTTCTCAATAGAAGTTCTTTGGAGAATATTCTCAGGGCCATCTCTACTGACAAATATTTTTTTTTTTTAGAATAATTTTCATAAAGTCTATGATTCCCGAGGGCTGTTTCACTCATGCAGTAGGTGTACAAATATCATACATTCATGTATATCTCGATGTATATGCAGTCCTTGATGCAGTCCATACATTCTTATGCAGTCAATGGAATACATGGACTCATGCAGTCATAATACAGTCGCATGCAGTCATAATACAATCGCTTGCAGTTGCTATAAATTCTGTGCTGTCAGATGCACTAGCGTACATTCCATATACACTCGCAAAATATCGTGAGCAGTCGCTGCTAGTGGAGCCTGCAATCTTGTTAGGTATTCCTCAAAAGTCGATGCAATCAACTATATCATCTTTGATGCAATCAATGCAGTCAAATACAGTAGGTGTACAAAACTTAGTGGGTGAAACCGAGGGGTATTTCACTGCCCACAATAGGTATATGTACAAATTTCGGTATAGTATTGCGGCAGTAATTTCTCAATAGTTCACAATGCCTTGCAATAGAACGCAATACCTTGCAATAGTGCACATTACTTTGCAGTAGTCTACAATAATTCGCAATGTTCCACAATACTCTTGCAATTATCTGCAATACACTCAGAATAGCCAGCAATACTCTTACAATAGTCTACAATATGCTTGCAATAGTTGAAAATATCATTACAATAATCTAAAATACTATCGCAATAACTTGCAACCTTGCTTGCAACAGATTTGCAGTAGTTCTTCACTTTAATTTTCATACTCTTGTCGATGAAAATCCTTGATATTATCTCTAAGATGTATGGTTTTTTTTATATCGGATAAGTTATTTGGAATATTTTTGCAGTAGCATGCTATATATTTAATTTTTGCATTGATTGGGACACAAATGCACATGGCATGCGCATTCAACTATCTCTATACCAAAAGTATACATCAGCGTTTATCATTCGTTGGGTATAAATTTGAATAAGTATTTTAATTTTTGTTACACTTTATTATAACTTCAACTTACGAGTGTAGGAAAATAGAACAACTGTTAAATATGGGTGCGGGATTGTCTTTTCCTGTATGCCTTTATTCTTGAAACAGGGGTTCAGCATTTCCAGGAGAATGAGTGTTCCGTCTTTGTTACTTATAGGATCATTCGCATATCATTGAAAAAGACGGAACACTCGTTCTCCTGACAACGTTGCTTTCCTGTTTCAAGAATGAGGACCCTGTTCTATCGCTCCTTTCTACGGTCTCTCTTTTTGGTTTCGTGTTTGCATCGCAGTTCTTCAGATGTTGGGAATAGACAATATCCAAGATTATACAGTTAAGTGTTTTGACGGACATACTATCCCATAAAAAATAATTAACTCTGATCTTGACGCCAATTTTAACAAAGATGAACTCAATTCAACTGACTCATCTGAGGCTATTCAGGAAAAAACTGATAATGACACTGTGATGGCAGACAAAGTACCAGAGGAGCTCAACTCTTTTAAAAATAATATGAACAGGGCAGCTTTTAATGTTAAAGATTACAATGCCTAGGTAACAGATATGAACAATGGAAGGTTTTTAAAAATACATTACAAAACAGAATGTCAAAGACAGTAAGAAAGTAAACTCTATGTTGTTTTTTTGCTGAAAAAACAGACAACTCTGATATTCACACAAGTGAAAATGAATTTACAAATGGAAGTTTCATAATGTAGGAGTAATAAATGATGAAGGAGAAAGACTATATATTCGACCTAAATATTACTATGCAGTGCAGAAGTATATTATGTTATGATACTGCGTGGTACATCGCAAAAGTACTGCATACAGACAACAATAAAAGCAAAGTGAAGTTTCTAAAATTGAATGTATGCCAGTTAAGATGGCCTGAAAAAGATGAATTGATGATCTCATCCATTTGATTTAGATCATAAAGATTTAAATAATATAAAAGAAAAATATAAAAGTTTGAACAAATAGGAAATACCTATGTACTGCTATAACTTGCAATAGTTCACAATAATCACAATGGTTTTGCAATATCTAGAATCATTGGGCAATAGGTTGCAATAGTCCACAATACTCACAATATATGTACAAAAAAACTTCAGTGAAATACCCCTCGGGTGAAACACCCCTCGCTGATTGCTAAATTCTCCATATAGGAAGATTCTCGAATTTTTGCCCTCAAGCCCTCGCTCAAGCCTAAATTTTCACCCCAACAAAAACAAAAAATACAAGTTGGTATTTTGGAAGAGATTCTATTTGGGAAAAAGCGAGGGAAAAAGTTTACTTACGCAACAAAGTCAAACTAATTAGGTCTGTTCTCACCGAGGTTTTCACAGAAATCACAAACCAGTCAGAGCAAATTTCATTGGTTGAAGTGATTTGCACCAATCAAAAACGCTTTGGTTTGTGATTTTTGTGAGAACCTTGATGTAACAAAAGACATTGTGAACCGAGTTGTGGACTTTGTGATAGTCGATATCGAGGTTGATATATAATATACTTAGACATTCAAAAGTTGACTTTTGGAGATTAAAATTAACCTCAGCGTTCTAGAAGTCTAAAAAAGCCAAATAAGACTTTGAAATAATGAAAAACCATTTTTTTTTTTTAAATGGGGCTGATTTTGTGACATTACCTTTGGGATTCCCAGACCCCAAATTCATCATCCTTCTGGGGTTTTTAATGGAAGAGTGAGAACCAAGGTGAAAACTGGACTTTGCCTATGTCATATTAGAGTTTTATTATTTAAGGTAATTATGTAGTGTTGGCAATAAAATCGAGATAAAACTATTAATTAGATATTAATAATAAACTTATTGCAACTATTATAAAACTACATAAAATATCATAAAAGAAAATGTTGCTCAAGCTACTTTATAAGTGCTGAATTTTCCAAAATATCTCAATCAATATCTTGTATCATTTTCTCGATCATTAATTAGTTAAATTTTATAACATTTCTCCAGACTGAAGTATATGACTTTCAAACAAGTGAAATAAATTCTTTGACCCCTGACCTTAACATCCTAGGTTGCTGAGTAATTTAAAGGCCTTGATAAAATCCAGTTAGAAGTAATAGGAGAAAGCCAGCAGTTGGAAAATTTCAACAATGAGTAATATACCTAATAACAGTAATAACAAATTTAAAGGTACCTACTTAAAGTACCATCATAAAGAACTTTAAATGCAATCATTTTTGAAAAGAAAGGTGAGGTGTATCAAAGAGGTTTTCAAACTTAGTCACAGTTTTTAATCAAGTTAAACTACTGCAACACAAAATCGTGTTCAACAAACCAAAAAAAAAAAGAAACATAAATATTTACCTGTGATAAGGCATCCTCCCCACCTACAAAACTGGAGTCAACACCCAGTATTTCCGAGTGAATTTCCTCGTTGATTGCTTTTTCTTTTAGCAAGTTTCTCTTGTGCTGTTCAACGTCACAGAGCAGCCTTTCCAGATATTCCACGTAGAACTGTTCCTTTTCCAGTTCCTCTTTGAGCAGGGCGACCTTTTGTTGGTGTTTTGCCAAATTCGCTCTGACATCTTCTTCCCAGGCGCCAGGCAAAGGGCTTTCGGGGAACCTTTGCAGCCACACTTTTTGAAAATCACCAAATACACTCATTTTTTCAGTTTGTTTTTACATAATTTTTTCGAAATTATTGAACGAAAAGTACACACACACGAAATCACTACACCAACACTTTTTTGTCTTTAGATTGAAAAATCGTAAACTTGTCAGTGTCAATAACAAACTGACATTTGTTTTGGTTTGTTTGTTTGGAGTAGAGTAGAGGAGAGGGCTTGTCGATATTAGCTATCGATACGATATTTTTTCAAGAAGATATCGATATTATATTTACGATTTTTTTACGATTCGATTCATTTGCGAAAAAAATATCATAATTCGCTATATTTCTAGCACGTGAAAGTAGCATATTGACAGTAATTTAATTATGTATTGACATTTTGTGTTTAACGAATGCTATCGATGATGGTTTTAAATTTTGCAACATCCAACCATTATAACAAATTCGTATCGATGCACATATCGATATGCCCTTTTCTAGTGTGAACGACCTTGCCTAGTGGGTGCATTCAGTGAACGTAACAATACATTTCGTTATATAAGAAAAATCGAACCTTTTTCCCATGTATAAATTAAAAATGCAAGAGGTTTATTAGGATTTTATTTATTCTCTCTTCTATAATAATTTTGTTTAGCTAATTCAGGATTGAATTGTGAATTATACTTCTGTTTGCCAACTTCCCTATTTGTTTTACTACTTGTTTCTCCTTCGCCCTGAATTTTGGCCAACAATTGATCACTTTTTCTTTTCTCTTCAGTTTCCCGTTTCAGTCTTTCCGCTCTCAAAGCATAAAGTTTTTTCTGTTTTTCCGCTTTGAGTAATTTTTCTTCTTCATCTTCAGATACAGAGATCATTTCAACTCTGTGAGATTTTTTACTTTTATGTTTCTTTCTTCTTTTGCGCCTCTCTTCATCTTCACTTGAACTCCTACCACGCTTCTTTGCTTTTGATTTAGCCAATATCGATTTATATTCCTTATATTTATCAGGTTTGAATTTTTCCCTTATCTTTTTATCTTGCTCTGCAAGTTTTTTAATTAAATTCAAAGGATCTTCTCTGTGTTTTGTTTTCAAATTTACTTCACCCTTTTCCTTGAAAGATCTTTCAGGTACTCTTTCATACCAACTTTTCTTGCCTAAAGCTTCATTGGTATCTTGCCCTAAATATGTCAGATAACCAATTTGTTTTTCATACTTTTCTTTTTCTTGTTTAACTTCTTTATCATGTTCCTTGTTGGTTTGTTTTAATTCCGCAACTCCTTCTTCAACTTCTTTGAAAAAATTAATGTGCTCCTGTGCTCCAGAAGTGCTAGTTTCTTGTTTTGCGTCGTCTTCAACATCCAGAGGTATAAAACCTGTTGTGTTGAGTAGTTTCGACCTGGACTTTTCAAGTAGCAATTGGCGTCTGGCTTCTCTTTCCTGTAACACAAAAAATGTAGCTAGAAAGTCGTTATCGATAGAGAAAAAATATTTACAGCTAGTTTAGCTCTATCCTGTTTGGCCTTTTCTTCTTCTGCCGCTTTGGCCTCGTCTCTACGAACTCTTGCGATATTATCTTTGGTACGGACGTGCCATCTAATTTAAAAGGAAAATTTAATAATCAAATAATAATTATTAATTATTATAAAAGGCATGTTGTTACTTACCTTTTCTTTGGTAAAATGTTCATTAAAATGCTTAATAATTACTTGTTTATATATCAAAAAAACTTAAAATAGTACTCAAACAGGGCCCACTTGACAACAAAGGGGTTTTAAAGGGTGTTTATTTATTTATATCATTTGTGTCTGAGGTGACAGAATTCTTTGACAATTTTTGACATCGACATTGATGTTATCATATGTTATCCAGCTGATTTGGAGCTTTTGGGAGCGGTTTGAACCTGTTTGAACAAAACGAAGAGTTTGTTTGTTTACTTCTCTTTTGTTGAGTTTTCCTATTTTTTTTTTATTTTATTCTGATTTTGTTACAATAATTGTTGGTTAGACCACAAGATAAGAGATATAAAGATAGGCTGTCGACATTGCAGTTCCTGATAAAGAAAAATACATATTTCTCCAATTACCAAGAGGTATGTAAATATTTAGCAAACAAATATGCTACAATAGAAAATTTAAAATTAGATTTATATGTACTTCGAAGTCTTGACAATTATTTAAACAAATGTTCGTATTATTACAGGTAAAACTCAAGAATTCCCTTAATAATCAAACTATTTCAGGGTGTATTTTTTTAAAATTGTTACTCAACCAACTTGAATATCGAGTTGAATATTCACTGAAACCATAGATAACTGAAACATGCTTCATACCTTCCTTCCACTCCTCTCCAAATTGTAAATTAATACTTGAAACAGTTCATGAGTATACAAATCATTTACTTCTTGTATTTGAATTATTGAAGAAATCCCTTAATAATAAATTTATTTCAGGGCAAGGGGTGTTTCCGAGGGTGTTTCACTCATGCAGTAGGTGCACAAATTTTATACATTCATGTCATGTATATGCAGTCCATACATTCTTCTGCAGTCCATACATTCTCATGCAGTCAATAGAATAAATGGGCCCATGCCATAGTACAGTCGCATGCAGTCATAATACAATCACTTGCAATCATAATAAATTCCATGCAGTCACATGCAGTAGTGTACATTTCATATACATTCACGAAAAATCGTAAGCAGTCTGCAATCTTTATGGATATTGCTCAAAAGTAAATGCAGTCAACTATCATCTTTGATGCAATCAATGCAGTCAAATACAGCATGTGTACAAAATTTAGTGGGGAACCCTTGTTTCAGGGTGTATTTTTCAAAGTTTTCACTCAAAGAACTTGAAAATGTACTTAAACATGATTCAAACCTTCCTTTCACTCCTCTCAATATTGCAAATTAATACATGGAACAGTTCATGGGTAAAAAAATTATAATAATAATAATAATAATAAAAGAACTTTATTTATACTGCACACATTGCAAGAAAACAAGATATCCAATAAAAACATGCACAGTTTTAGGAAAAAAGATAAATGTATAAAACATAGATATAAAAATATGTAAATACATGAAAATAAACAAAACTACAAAAGGTTGAAAAAATAATTAAATTACTGTTTTTTTTGTACAGGTAAGAAAATCTATATCACTATCCCTAGCAACATCATTCACTCTTCTTAAGCACCTAGTTATGGGTGAGGGGGAGGATATATTCAAAATTTTAAATATATTATTTCTTAGTCTTAATCTAGGGTCAGGTACATCATAGCTTATATATTGCAATATATCAGGTACAGTTATATTGTTTCTCAATATGTTAAAAATAAATAGGATGTCAGTGAAGGCCCTTCTCTTTTCCAACCTTATAAGATCAAACTCCTCCAGTTGTGAGTTATATGATATTAGGTGTGAGGTGTGGGTAACCTGGATAATATCCATGCCGCTTGAAATAAATAAACCGTAAGCATCGCTTCTGAATTCGCTCTAATGATTCGGAATGACACGCTGTGCTAGGATTCCATATAATACTACCGTATTCTATCTTGGATCGTACAAGAGAATTAAACAAGATGAGAATCACATTAGAGTTGCGAAAGTTGTTACATGTACGTAGGACAAATCCAAGTTTCCTCATACCTTCTATATACAGCTTTTCTATGTGCTGATTAAAATTGAAATTCTTTGTAAAACATATACCTAAATCTACTATTTCCTGCACTCTAGTAAGACTATTATCACAGATTTTATAATCACAAATTATTGGCTGTTTAGTACGACCAAAACACAAGCATTTACACTTATCAATATTGAGTTGCAGGTTATTATTTTTGCAATATTGTACAAGAGAGTAGAGAGTCCAAATCGTTTTGTAATAAATGACCATCTGACTGATCTTTAATAACTCTATATATTTTCAAATCATCTGCATATAAGAGAAATTGCGAATTCTTGATATAAATGGATATGTTGTTAATAAAAAGATTAAAGAGAAGCGGACCCAGTATTGAACCTTGAGGCACTCCAGAAGTTGCCAGATAACCATCAGAAAGTGCATTATTAAACTTTACGACCTGATGCCTATCACTAATATAAGAACCCAGATATTCTACAAGATTGGAGTCAAAAGATAGTTTTGAAAGTTTGCTAATAAGAATTTTATGATCCACTCTGTCAAAAGCTTTTGCCAAGTCTGTATATAAAACATCAACTTGACAACCGCTCGACATTTGGTCAGCTACATACTCAGAAAAAACAGTGAGATTTGTAACTGTTGACCTTTTCTGTAAAAAACCGTGTTGTTATGGTATTATGATGGGTTCTACATGGTGGTATATTTTTTCATAAACTACTTTTTCGAAAATTTTTGAAACGGTGGGTAAAATAGTAATGGGACGATAATTATTGACAAGACTTGTATTTCCATTTTTATGGACTGGTGTGACACAGCCTTTTTTAAGTTCAGCTGGAAAGTAATTTTGTGATAAAGATTTGTTTATAAGTATTTGTAATGGTAATGTTGAGAAATCCGTATATGTTTTGAAAAATATGCTGGTAGTCCGTCCAAGCCCACAGCAGCCTTAGGCTTCAAGCATTGAATTGCAGAGCTAACATCTTCCACACTCACACTTTTTAATGCCAGTATATCTTGGTTAGAGACATCTACAGAATTATCACAAATACCACCACTCGAAAAAACAGAACCAGGACTATTATTGTACATATCTTTGAAAAACTCTGAAAATCCATTAGCAACAGCTGCATCCTCAGTATAAGATTGATCACCATAAGTAAATTTTTGACACAAACTGCTATTCTTCCGTTTTTCCTTAACAAAGTTCCAGAACATATTGGGATCATTATAGATGTTATCTTCAGTCCCCTAATAATTAAAAAAAAAATCTGTAACTCAGTTAATAATTAATCAATTCTATTTTTTCTTTGACTATTTAGGAGCACCTAAAAAGCACCTAATTCTGATACAAAAGAAAATTTTGGAAAAATATTTTTTACTATAGGGGACTACTAGCTTTCAAAAACCTAGCAATTCCTTAGTTTTTTTTTGATTTTCTCAAAAACTAGAGGAGCACCTAATTTTTAATTAGAGGCCCTAATTAGCACCTAAAAAGCATCTAATTATTATATAGATCCCGAAGTTTTTTTCCATTCTGACACACCAACATGTAATCGTAAAGCCAGCAGTCCCCTAATAATTAAAAAAAAAATCTGTAACTCAGTTAATAATTAATCAATTCTATTTTCTCTTGGACTTTTTAGGAGCACCTAAAAAGCACCTAATTCTGATATAAAAAAAAAAATTGAAAAAATATTTTTTACTATAGGGGACTGCTAGCTTTTATAGACCTAGCAGTCCCCTAGTTTTCTTTGATTTTCTTAAAAACTAAAGGAGCACCTAATTTTTAATTAGAGGCCCTAATTAGCACCTAAAAAGCAACTAATTATTATATAGTTCCCGAAGTTTTTCTCCACCTTGGGACTGCTAGGTTTATAGACCTCCCGAGACTAGGCTGGAAATGTCCATACTTTCACAAAAATTATTAGTTCCACCCCCTTAAACCACCCTCAAAGTTATTTGCAATTCTTTTAATGTATTCTAGGCGGTGTATCTTGGTACTGCCTATAACTTCCACTACTATTTGAACCCGAGACTAGGGTGGAAATGTCCATATACAGGGTGTCCCACGGTGGATGGCGTATTTGACGTTAATGGAAAACTAAAAAGCGGACCATTTTGAAAATTGGCAACCGGGATAAACGACCATAATCTACACTTTAAAAATATTTTTGCTTATACGGTGTTGCCGCTTCTACTCTCAACCAGTGGCAACATCGCTATTTTTAATGGAACACCCTGTATGTGATTACATATTTGAATTCTACGTAAAATTCTGAGCAGATTTCATGTGATATACCCTATACCTAAGTTCAACTGTTTTGGAAATATTGACAGTTGAAAATTGACTTTTGGCAACTTCGACAGGCTATAAAACCTGAACGGGTCAACTATCATTTGACATCGACTTTGAATTAAATCCATGATTAAAAATTCCAATTAAATTTAATCTCCGGGTAAATTCAAAGCTGGTGTCAAATGATATATAGTTTATGAAAATCTAAGATAGGAATGTAAAATCAGTTTTCCTCTAAAATTAACCGTTTAGGTTTTACAGCCTGTCAAAGTTGCAAAAAGTCAATTTTCAACTGTCAATATTTCCAAAACAATTGAACTTAGGTATAGGGTATATCACATGAAATCTGCTCAGAATTTTACGTAGAATCTAAATATGCAATCACACACAGGGTGTTCTATTTGAAATAGCGATGTTGTCACTGGTTTAGAGTACAAGCGGCAATACTGCATGGTCAAAAATATTTTTAAAGTGTAGATCATGGTCGTTTATCTCGGTTGCCAAGCTTTCAAAATAATTCGCTTTTTAGTTCTCCATAAACGTCTAATACACCATCCACCGTGGGACACCCTGTATATCGATTGTCAAAATCTGATAAAATCGTCTTCTGCCTCCAAAAATTCTCAATTTTGCCGTCTCATTTTTGGTCTATTCCTGACTCTTGTAAATTTCTCTACCTATAGAGAAAATTCAATAGCTTGAAATAGAAACGAAATATTTTGTGTCTACTTGTCTACCAATTTCTCTCGAATTTCTTCTGTCTATTTCTTAATTTTTGTCTATTCCCTTCTCGGTAAAATAAAAAAAAAAAGTGTTTGTCAGGGTGATTTTATAAGAATTTTACAAGATTTTCCAGTATTATTGTGGAAAAAAAGTCATAATTCAATTTCTAAACACCAAGTTCACTTCCAATTTATTTTATTTTTTTAAAATACTTTACTTAACTTATTTATGCTGAAAGTTTGAAATCCCCTAGATTTTGAACCTGGGAAAGAAAATTCGACCATTAAAAACGTCCATTGTTACAACAACCACAATCAAATTTTGTTGTAAAACATTTTTGCTGGGATCTAGCTACCACATAGAAACTAAACTTGGCAACATTGATGTGATAATTTGTGTATTTTTTGAGTATTTTACAAGATTTTCTAGGATTGATGTGGACAAAAGATCATAATTCCATTTTTAAGCTCCTTTTTATAACATTTTTCTTATATTTCTTCTCTTTATTTTTCAATTTTTTTCTATTCCCATTTCTCAATAGAGAAAATTCAAGAGCTTGGACTAGAAATACAATGGATACTTTGTCTGGGCCTATTTGTCTATCAATATCTTCTCAATTTCACTCGAATTTCTTCTCTATATCTCTCAGTTTTTCCAGTTCAATTTTTATCTATTGCCGATTCTTGAAGTTGTTGAAATAAAGAAAATTCAAGAGCCTGTAATAGGGAAAACATTAATTTCCATTTATTTACAAATTTTTTCTTATATTTCTTTTCTCTATTTCTCAATTTTTGTCTATTCTTATCTCTTAAGTTTTCGTCGAAAAATCAAGAATTTGAACCAGAAATAATATTTTGTATCTTCTTGATGAGTTTCTTCTCAATTTCTATCCAATTTCTTCTCCCTCTTTCTCAAATTTTCCAGCCCAATTTTTGTCTATCGCTGGCTCTTGAATTTGTCGAAATAAAGAAAATTCGAAAGTCTGGAATAAAAAAAAATAAAACATGAATGTCGTCTTATTTACCAAGTCCAAAAATTCTTTTTAAAGTAGTAGAAGTTTTTTGGTAATTTCTAAATTGTTCTAACAGACTTGAACACCTTTTGAAAGGCGTCTTGTAACTTTGAACCTGAATCCTAAGATTCGGGCGCTTTTCAAAATGTTTCTGAAGATTCTAGAGTGTTTGAATGTTTTGGATCATCCTAAAATGGATTTCAAACTTCTGAATTGTTCTAAAATGCTTCTGGATATTGTAAATCAGTTTTTGAATGTTTTGGAGCATTCTAAAATCGTTCTGAAATTTCCAATTTGTTCTGAAGCCCTACAGAATACCTTTGGAAATTCTGTATTGAATTATAAGGATTTTGAACTTTCCATAAGGTTTACCAATTAAAGTTCCAAAGTGTTTTGTAGCATTTTAAATGGTTTCCAGTAATTTCTAAATTGAATGAGAAACGAATTTTGTGGGAAGTTTTCGAAGACATCTTAAAAACATCCCTAAGATGTCCACACACAACATTCAAGACGTTTTTTAGATGCCTGCTTACATGTTTAAGGCATCTTAAGCAAACTGATTAGTAAATAGTAAACAATATATTATTATGAACCACAAGTCACCACGATTACATATTTGGGCTTTGGTTTTGGTCGAAAACCAAGAAAGTTGATTATTATCAACAATAATACCTCAAAATTTCCAATGATAACAAACAAATACTGATAAGTTGTATTTAAACAATAAACAGTAATTATCATAAATCCCTGGTATCTACTCTTATAGATAAACGAAACCCCTCCAGTCTTTTAAGTACTACCTACATAATATAATGGCCTAGTAACAAACAAATCTAACTAGTAATTCAATTTTTTTTTATAGGCTCATTGTGTGAAACAAGATGAGTTTACCTGCATCATTGACCCAATTGTTCAGGTAAGTTTTATATTACTATAAAATACTTGAATGAAAAAAATATTCCAATTATTAGAAAAATCGACGAAAACAAGCAGTCATACATAGAAAACCTCAGAGAAGCTGTAGCAATCAAATCAGTATCAGCATGGCCACATACTCGTCCGGAAATCAAAAAAATGCTAGAATGGGCCTTGCAAAGGCTCACTGCCTTAGGTGCAACGGGTGAACTTCGTGACATTGGCATGCAAACTTTACCAGATGGCAGCAAAATCCCTTTGCCTCCTGTACTACTAGCAAATCTCGGTTCTGATACGAAAAAGAAAACTGTATTGCTTTATGGACATTTAGATGTGCAACCTGCCTTGAAAGAAGATGGTTGGAATACTGAACCGTTTGTTTTAACTGAAAAGGATGGCAAACTGTTTGGAAGAGGATCGACTGATGATAAAGGGCCAGTTTTAGGATGGATTCATGCCCTTGAAGCTTATAAGGCAATTGGAGTAGAAATTCCAGTTAATCTTAAATTTGTTTTCGAAGGAATGGAAGAATCTGGTAGTGAAGGGCTAGAACCATTGCTCATGAGTGAATCTGATAAGTTTTTAAAAGGCACTGATTATGTATGCATTTCTGATAATTATTGGCTGGGCACTGAAAAGCCTTGCATCACTTATGGTCTTAGAGGAATAAGTTATTTCCATGTAGAAATTGAATGTGCCGCTAAAGATTTACATAGTGGCTCTTATGGAGGGAGTGTTCATGAAGCTATGGCTGATTTAGTCCATATTTTGGGCACTTTAGTTGATAAGGATGGCAAAATTCTTATAACTAATATAAATAATGAAGTTGCTCAGTTAACACCTAAAGAGCAGCAGTTGTACGAAAAGATTAATTTCGATGTTGCAGAATATAAGGCTGATGTTGGTACTAAAATGTTGATGCATAATGAGAAGAAAGAGAAAATTTTGATGCACAGATGGAGATATCCTTCATTGTCTATTCATGGTAAGAATTTTTTTTAAATAGTCAAGTACCTATATAGAATTTGTAAATTTTAGGTATTGAGGGTGCTTTCAGTGAACCTGGACAAAAAACTGTAATTCCAAGAAAAGTTACAGGGAAATTTTCCATAAGGCTTGTTCCTAATCAAGATCCTGCCACCATAGAAAAATATGTTATTGATTATCTGAACAAAAAGTGGCAGGAATATGGAAGTCCCAATAATATGAAGGTGAATATTTGTTTATTGAAAACAGCCAAATTTATTTTTTTATTTTAGGCTTACTCTGCTCATTCTGGACGTCCATGGATGTCAGATCCATTTGACCCTCACTATACTGCTGGTAATATTGTATTTGATTTTTGTATTGCAATATTTGTATCAATTTTTTTTACAGGAGTTAAAGCCACAAAGCACGTTTACGGAGTCGAACCAGATTTGACCAGGGAAGGTGGTTCAATACCTATCACTTTAGTTTTGCAGGAAACTACTGGGAAAAATGTGATTTTGTTGCCAATGGGTTGCGGTAACGATGGAGCTCATTCGCAAAACGAGAAGATTGATATCAGAAATTATATTGAAGGGGTAGGTTGAGTAGTTGTTGGTTTTTAGTTATTTGTTTTTGTAATGATTTGTTTTAGACTAAACTGCTTGGAGCCTATCTCTATGAAGTATCACAGCTTTGATTAATTTTATATTTTTTAAACTTTATTAATTGAAATAATATTAAGTTTTATTATATTATTAATCCCAGCTTATATAAAAATAAAAATATTTTATCTTGAAATATGTAGGGCTTTTGTTGGTTGTCTAGGGGTGAAATGAAACAGCAGAGTTCTAGCACATTAATGACAGACTCATTTTATATGCTGTCAACTAGGTGAATATATGTGTTGCAATGCGGCTAGGTAATACGGAATTACCAATCCTACAAATATAAATTTAAGCGATTGATTTAGCCGATACTTGATGAAAATCCATTGAAAATCGCCTACAACGCTGGAATAAAATGTTAGAAAACCAAAAACCAATACTGAATATACAGCAAACATTGAACCACCTTTAACCCTATACGTTTTCTAGAGAAAACCGCCCTCTTAAAAATCTTCACTGACACAAAAAACCTATGTTAATCCTAAAGAACTCTGTATTATCAGCCTCGAAGAGTTATTTATCGATTCGCCCTTAATCCACGGAGGGAGTGGGGATGCGAAAACTTCACGTTTTCAAGGGGCACATAAATGTGGGTACCTTTAGAGCGTCGCGACGCATTGTCCGACGTCGCCGTGACACCGACCCAACGATCCACGAGTTTCCAAAAACGCGATCGTGAAGTTTGCAATAGATTTTTTTTAGTGAATTTTAGTTTTGGATTTTTTTTTTCGGTAGGATTTTTTGATAACTTTTTTTGTATATTTTTTTTTTTTTTTGGAAAATATTTACCTACGTGATTATTAACTGATCGGATATAGGTAGTTTCTTTGTTCGTTTCAAAGCAATATTAATTTAAATGGTAAGTTGAATATACAAAATTCTTCAACGCTATGAATATCTACCGCACAAATTTCCCTCAAAGAAGTTATAAAACTATTTAGAATATTACTGAATTCCTATAAAGTTTCAGCTTCATTCAGAAGTTACTATAAAATTTGCTCCTCCAATAGCCAAGCTATCTCTATACTAGTTGCATTCAAGATAGTTGGCGAAATGCCATTGAAGGCATTTAAGTTTGAAGCTATTTTGCCTGTAAGCTCAAGCTTATCCTTTATTCTTTTGTTAAGAAAACGATTAAATTTGCAGTTTTCATTTTCATCCAGAGTATGACTATATTTGTTAAAATGTTAGAAAAAGCCCTCTACTACAATTGGCATATTCGTATTTTTCTCTTAATTTCAATCGTGGTTTCTCAAACTTTAACATGGTAGCAGAGTGTTAAAAGAGACGAGCAAAATTAAGAATATCAAGCGCTGAATTAGTACAAAAAATTAGTAATTGAACTTTGAAGGATGGATCCAAGCAAAGTTCATATGGGATCACTGGAAGGTAAAGCTAATTGGACCATATGGAAGTACAAAATGAACATTCTTCTAAGAGGTATTCCAAATGCAGTTGATATTTTGGAAGGAAAGTTGGTACTCCCAGTTTTGAAAGAAAATGCGTTAGCAGTTGAAATTACTGCGCATGAGGCAAGCCTAGTGAGTTTCAATACTGCAGATTGTAATGCATTTCTTGCTTTTACGATAAATATGACACAAGATACCTTACAAAAAGTTGTTTTCTACAGCAGCAAGAGAAATGTGGGTTGAATTGAATAGGCTCTTTGATGGCAATGTCGAGGACAAAACCTTTGATGTTTGCTTAGAAATCTTTAACTATAAGAAGAAAGTTGAAGATGATATGGCAACGCACGTCTAAGCTCAAAAACCTGTGAAATGAGCTGCAAAAGAGGTTATCAAAAGATAAAATCATCACAAATAAAACATGTAATTGTGAGTTTCCTTAGTTACTGTAAGTCTGTAAGATTTTAGAAACTCTACTCCAAGACTACTTCTCCTTCAAGTCAAGCTGGATGTTAATGTCGGAATCTGACAGGACTATAGACAATTTAACAAATCAGCTTTGTTCTCATGAGAAGGCATTATCAGACAAGAATAATGAAAGTCATCAGGAGGCGTTACTTGCAGAAAAGAGGAGCAGCTCGACCAATAAGAGAAAACTAGTTTGCAATTATTGCAAAAGAAAAGGTCATAAGGTCAAACAACCCACATAACAAAATTGCATCCTTAGAATGTATTAAGAATATTCGTATGGCAATATTCAAAGTTTGTTATATAAAGTAGGTTCTTAGCACAATCTTTCAGGTAGGTGCATAGAAGCAACATTCCTAGTACATAAATAGAACGTTCAAAAAGGAATATTTCAATCGAAACAATCTTAGAATATTCATTAAACATTCCTAAAAGAACATTCCAAAAAGCACTTTGAGGGAATATTCTGAGAATATGAATATTCTTTCATTGTTATGTGGGAATGTATTTAATGGAAAGAATGTTTCTTACCTAAAAGAGACTCGAAAGTATTTTCCAATTACATAAATGGACGTCAGTAGCTCATGATAAAGTTTTCACAAAAAGTAGAAATTTCGAAAAAATTCAACGATTAAAAAGCAAACAACTTTTGATAATTAAATCTCCAAAATCATAAAACCATCCCGAGCACGACACAAAAAAATCGGTCCAATAATACCAGATTTTATGAGTCAAAAAACCTCCCACGGCGAAATCGAAAGTAATAGATTTAAGAGCCTTTTATAATGCTATTACCGAGTTTTATATGAAAAGGGTCTTGCTCTATTAGCGGTCAGAAAACAGCTTTCTCTCAAAAACCAGACAAATACGTATAAAAACCTTCAACAGCCTATTAGATTTTTATTAGTCTAGACATTGGATTAATAATTATTATTAGGGAGAATATTAATTTCGGTTTTACGACTACCTACCTCCCGAAAGCGCAATAATTGTTGTGGCTAGAAAATTGGGAGATTTGGGGTGCGAAGCCTGCAGCAGAACTACGGTTACGAGGAGACAGGCATAATTGTTAATTATTTCCCCCATTAATAGACTAATTTATTATTTAGCGTGAAACCAGCCAGCTGCTGGGTGTTTTATAGAATTTTCATGGATACGACTGCCAGGAGTTCCATTGGAAAACGTTTTGGGGCTACGCCGCATGATTTTGTTTTAACTATTACTGTTTCAATTTTTGTCTATTCCAGGCTCTTGAATTTTTGTTTTTTTTCCAAATCGGAGAGCATAGAATATAGAAAATTCTAGAGCCCAGGATAAGATACAGTGATTTTTGCTTAATTTTTTTACTGGGTTTTATAGTTCTTTGGCCTAAGATGAAAAGCTATTCTAATTGTTGAACTCTACAATAATCTAGAGACTGAGTTGTTCTCTCTTACCTTGATTATATGTTATATTCTACATAGCTCCTAAAAAATTCTAGTCTCTATGGCATCCAAATCAAATTCTACAGGTTCTACAACAATCTAGATACTGTAGATTTCCTTCCCAGACAGCACACAAAGTCTTCAGGTCTGCATTATGTCTGAACGTCTGAACACCGTATATTGTATACAGGGTGTTTCAGGAACATCGAAACAGAGGCGTTTTGAGGTCGATTTAAAAAAAATGCTCGGACACGTCAATTTTGTATTTAAGGTTCCCCATCGGCATTTCGCTAGGGTGCACTCCCTGGGTGGGGTGACTCTCACTCCTCTTTTTTAGATAGGGAATATGGGTCGAGTGGTACCTTGTTTAAAAGTTATATATACAACCGTATTTTTTTTGGAAATCGAATAATTAGTTCTTGAAATATTCACTGTTAAAGTCATCAGAAACGTTGAACGAGATAGCCGTGACACCATTTCAAAAGCCTTTCTACCTTATGTACCTCAAGTCACAGATAGAATCGGCCGAATTCTGGGAAAATATAACATCAAAACTATTTTTAAACCATCCAAGAAGATCGAGAACCACCTCAGATCTGCCAAGGATAAGAGAGATCCACTGAGCTCTACAGGTATATATCGCATTCCCTGCACCTGTGGAAGTGTCTACATTGGAACAACTAAGCGGTCAGTCAACACCAGAATCAAAGAACATAAGGCCAATTGCCTCCTTGGACACACAGAAAAATCAGCGATCGCAGAACTCACACTAAACAATGAAATTATATATACCATATATACCACTCGACCTATAAATTTAAATGGATTAAACTATCCAAATATTTTTTGCATAATTTTGTTTTTTGGCAAATAGTTTCATGCACAATAACTTTTAAATAAAAGCCCTCGCATTCAAGTATTATAGTTATTGTGCATTCAACTATTTTCCAAGCAAAATCATGCTCAAAATATGTTGGATAGTTTAATCGATTAAATTTAAAGCTCTTGTGATATAATATATGTTTATGTGTTATTTAGTAGAACCAGTTGATCTTCGGAAAGGATCTCGTCTTCCTCCAACTTCTCAGCTGGAGGATGAGTTTTCAATACAATCTGGCTGAAGGAATTCAACGAGATCATGCTTGGCTTTTTCCTTGGCACTGAGGCGTAGTCGGAAATCACCAGAGGCTCTTGAGGTATCGGTTCTTCACTGTCACCCAATGGAAAGACCAATGCCAGGAATTTCTTCCCAATGTTATCTATAACATATTTTCCAAACTTACCAAGTCCTCTTCTGGTCAACAATTGAGTTTTTCTAGTGTTAGCCGTGATTCTTCAGAGAGGTTGCAACTTCTCAAACATTCTTCTTTTTGTATTGTCGCTGACATTTCACCAAAAATCCTAACAGATTGCTTGAAGATAATCGCTAAATCCTCACAAATGTAGCAACTACCATAGTATGGCAGAATAACACAAGTGCAGTTCACATCTGGAAACAAAGATTAGAAATTATTATATTTTTCCAATGTTTTAGATACCTAAGTGTTACTTACACTTGTCCTTTTTGGAACCAATTCTGAAATGTTTGTTGTTTAAAAGTTGTGCTACGATAGTGGGAATAATGACTCTTGATTATGTGTTATTCAGTACAACCAGTTAATCTTCGGGAAGGATCTCGTCTTCCTACAACTTCTCAGCTGGAGGATGAGTTTTCAACAAAATCTTGCTGAAGGGATTCAGCGAGGACATGCTTGGCTCCTTAAGAAGTGTGTCATCTGATTGCCTTTAATGAAGTTAGACATTGTAGCAAAACGCCCCAAGTACTCTATGTAATTAGTTAGATGGTAAATGGCGAGCGGTATATTGATGGTGTTTATTTACTTGGAGCTGCTACCTAAAATCTGTGGAAGGGTCTATTTGCAAGAGAGACAAACAAACTATTGAGGTGTACTAAATTATATTTTATTATACATAAAACCAAAAATTTTTAATCAGCCAAATATCTTCCAGTTCTGACAGCCTCATTTATTTCTATAAAATCAATTACTTCACATCCGTTCAAAATGTTATTATTACGGACCACTGAAATATCCCTACTAATAAAGAAACGCCCTATTCCTACTATTCCTAATAACTTTTAATAGTTAACTCATTTCAATACTTCCGATTCATTCCTAATAAACTACCCATCACCTAATTATATAAATTCTTTAAAATTTCTAAGTCCTTTACTGGACCTGCTTATGAAAAAACCAAAATAATTACCTATTTGTCTATCAATATAGGTATTACTAACTTATTCTTATAAAACCTTACAATAATTTCTACTTGAAAAAATAAAATACCTAATTCAAAAGTTCGGCACTTAAGATCATCAATGTCTCTTGACGAATAACAAATTTCAAATAAACGTTTTCAATACGTCTAATGATTATCGTCAGCAGTTTTATCTCATGAAGGACAACAGTTCTTAAACTAACCACTCCATTACATTAAATGATAACCGTCAACAATCTTATTTCATGCACAAGTTTCTTTTCGACACATCCCATTTCCCTCTTAACAGAACAAAGTACTATCATAAGTTTCCTTTAACAACTTTCCAATATGTTAGGACAATTCTATTTTCATGAACATCAAGATTCTTTTCAAAATTTCCTATTCCATTTAATTAGAACAATTACTATTTTTCGCCATCCTGGCTAACATACAAAATTCTTATTAGTTCGTTACTATAGCCCTTAATCTTCAATTGGACAATCCAGTTCAAACTTCTTTAATAATCCCTACTCAAATCGAAACTATTTATGTTATGTTAAATGCATTATAAATTCCCTTCATATTGTTGGTGCAAAATTAAATTAGAATGTCATTATATCTGAAGGCAATTAAAGTAATGCAATAATGTTCCATTTATAAAACACTCGAGTTATTAATACTTATGCAATAAAGTTCCACAGTTAATTAAAAGTCAAAAGTTTTTCTAGTAACAATCACTCAAGTTTATAAAGTCAAAAGTATTTCTAGTAAAAATCACTCAAGTTTATAGGCTTTGAAAGTCATTAGTTAATTCACTTCTTATCATTCAGGATCATTGATAAAACTCAGAAAATTATTAACACTAAAGTACTTACATTTAACTTTGCACACGTAAAATTACTTAATTAATTACTCAAAATTTTTAGCTAGCACGCACATAAATGTTGACGAATTTAATTGTTCTTTCTTTCAAAATTTTCCGCTACTTTTTCAAAGACTGTTTTCCGAGGCAATACAAGAAACTTTTCGCGGATATTTACTCGGCTGACTCATTAGGTACTGTAGATTTTAACTCAAACTGGACAGGACTGCGAACTCATCTCTCAACTGACAACTCAACTGATAACTCAACTGATAACTGCCTCCACTTCCAAAACCGCGGTATTTATATTAAATCGATCCCCCCCGCAAAGTATTATTAATTATCCCCCAAATCGTCAATAGGCGGTCGTTTGCCTAGCAATCCGACAATTCCATTGGCGGACCTAAATATTATTAAAATAAATGATGCAATTTCCTTGAAATTTTTATCATTTTAAGTTTAAAAAAATCGACTAATTATGTCGCAATATACTGATTTATCGGGGTTGAATACAGTGGTTCAAGAATGCCATAAATCATTCGATTTAATTAACATTATGGCCTCGCTAAAAAAAAAAGTTCATTGATCGGGTGTTAGGATTACATCACCCTGTCCTCGTTTTTATTATTTTTAAGAATTTAATTTAGATGATGACAAGCTGGGTGTCGAATTACGTTAGCGTTAATTTGTTTCATTTTTAATTGATCGATACTGATTCGGAGATACCGAAAATTCTCTTTTTGATTATTCGATATTTATTAAATTTTTACAGTAAAGACATTGTGATTTATGGATCTATTTTCTCGGAATATTACAACATAAACGACACAAAGCAATTTGCGCTTGCGCGTTTAACAAGGCTTAAGAAAGGATTAGCACTAATCTTAATCCATAATAGTTGTGAAATAAACGAATATGGATTAATAATCCTTAATCCACTTAGTATCCCGATATAACGCCTGAAATAAACGTAGTCATTGTGTCCTTTTTTCAAAATCCGTACGGTTTCAGGGTACTTATGGCTCTTATGAGTTGAAAATATGAAAACATTTGTTTCAAATTGATCTTACTCAATTTAAGTCTATATAATCTTAACACTCCTATAGATATTCTCAACACGTTTCTGTAGATTTTCCATGGTGTTCAAATTTTTCTCTACGTCTTCGAGGCTAAAAAATGAATGTTTTAAGCCGCTCTATATCAGCTTCAATTTGGTTTAATGAATAGACATCATATCATGCATGATAGTACAATTCCCAAGTTCAATGATATCAGCTGAAAAGATTTAAAAGTAGTTGGATTTTACCTGTATGAACCTCAAAAATTAGCTTTTCATGCCGCTCAAGTTTCACATTGCCTCTAGAATGTGATGTTCAGGAATCGAGTTCCAATAGCAGGCACGTAATCCCACCAATCTCTCGATGGAAATTTTAAAATTTACCCAGAGATTTTGTTTTAAGGAATAATTCTTTCTTGAAACTTCAACCCACTTACTTCCACAACACTAAACAATTATCCCTTATCAAAAATGACTTTTTACTCTGATTCTTTCGTCATTTTTCTCCAACAGCAAACCAATTTTTGCCATTAGACCGACCGACTGATAAACAGGCACTTTTCCAGACAACTGATTTGCTTACTCCAAAAGAAGTATTTTTTTCTCAATAATCACAAAAAGCTATTAAAGTCAACTTTTCCTTTTAAAAACTTATTTTCGCCTTCCAAAATCTTATAAAACCCATTACGAGATCGATTGGAATTGCCAACTTTCGCGCATTAGGAAGTAATTAGGTAATCCGGGCCTCCGTAAACCCAGGAATGAAGCGATCGTATTTTTATCTTGAGCCTGGCATTAGTGGTTTTAGGTTTTAATTTAACGATTTCGCTAATGAATCTTTCAAATTAATATTCAAGTTGCATTAATCTCGAAATCTGAATTCGAATATAATATGATATGTAATGTGCAAACGTTACACGAGCGTCAAATATGAAGGAAGTATTTTCAAGGCGAGGGATTTGAAAAGCGAGATTAGACACGGAGCGTAATTGCTGCGGAAAATCGAATTAATATCACGACCGGTTCAATTGGTCTAATTTTGAGATGTGGATCCTAGTAAATTGTGATTTTTAAGTTGTGTAAATGAGTTAGTAAGATTGGACTTCATACAATGCAAATCTTCAATTTAACAATTTTGTTTTGTTTGTTTCAGCATAAACTGTACAGTTATGACAGCTAACAGCGCTGAGCCTGAGGACAATCATGAATTTCAGTTTGTGCACCAGCTGGTTTTGCACCAAAACCGAACAAGAAAAACCAGCGAATAATCACAGTGCGGCCAACAACGAGTACCAAGCAGTCGTGACCACCGGACCTGGTCCTAGTCCTGTTAGTTCTGGTTCGTGCGATGACGTAATGCCACCCTCAAAGAACTGTTTCAGATTGATAATGTTAGGTAAGAACTATTTTTAGAACAGTTTAATTAATCCGTATCCAGTCAAAAGTAAATATTGTCACAAAAAACATCGATACACAATTTAATTAACAACAAAATACGCTTCCATAGAATTTCATAATCCGCTCCATGTTTTGAATAGATCAGGGGACGTTTTAACATAATGCGCTCTATATAAATAGAGCTGACAGAGCGGTGATGATGTTGGTAATTAATATCAAATGTTAATTTAAGATCGATTAGTCTTTGAAAATAAATTAATTATTTTATCATCAAACAAACCAAAGTCGATACCATGATGTTCCCGACAAGTTATGATTAAATATCAAGTAATTACAAAGGTCAATCAATGTATTTCAGAGATTTTGCTATACATTAATCGTGCTTCGTTAATAGAGGATAACCCCTTTTCTCTTGTATTTGATGTGAAATTAGCTTTGGCTAAATGCATCCCTCGGAGAATTATTGTAGCGGATCGGAAGATTTATGTTTTGAGGCTCTAGCTTTGAACGAAAATCGATGTGAAAGTCTGAAATAACATTGACTTGGATTAAGTGGGTTTGAAAGCGGAAAGGATTTTTACCTAAATAAGTAGTAATGGGATCGGATTCAGCCAAATCAATATTTATATAAAAATCTCTCTATCACTTATTACTGACTTTTCCCAAATTGATTCAAAAGAGTTCGGGGTTTCCAGTTCTAAATTGAATCCTATAGTTGTTCTGAAATGACTGAAGTTTTTAAATTGTGCCAAAATGTTCCTGGATTTGAACTGTTTTGGATATCTACTTATTAAAGGCTTAAAGTTCTACAGCAATTCAAATTCGCTCTTGAACGACTTCTGAAAGGTGTTTTGTAACTTTCTACCTGAATCCTAAGATTCCGGCGCTTTTCAAAATGTTTCTGGAGATTCTAGAGTGTTTGAGTATTCAAGAGCCTTCTAAAATGGGATTGAAACCTCTAAATTGTTCTAAAATGCTTTTGGAAATTGTAAATAAGTTTTGGAGCATTCTAAAATAGTTCTGAAGTTTCAAATTATTCTGGAGCGTTATACAGCTCAGGTAGCACAGGTTACATCCCATGTAAGTTTTAACGTACCAGAATAAAAACCAAGATTCTGAGACCGCCTGCTAAAGGCTAATCTACAAATCTACGTTTTGGACATTTCAGAGCCCATTTAGGTCTGAGCGTTATGGATCTTTCGTAGGACGTCCGTAAACGACTAGTCTACATATACTTTTGTGATATCCTGAGGATTTTCGTTTTAAATCCCATGTCTATCCAAACGTTCCTGGAAATTCTTTTTTGAATATCCCTAGGAGTTTTTGTTGGACATCCCTGGGAATTTTCCCTCTAATGTCACATGTTTGTTCTTTTTGAACCTCCTTGAATGTTCTATTGGGTAATTTAATCAAGAGCCAGTAAAAGTTCAAACTTTGATTATTACCGACTTTTGAGTCTTTGGGTAATTTTTCCAGACAATCAAGAGCCGGTAATAGTTCAAATTTTGATTATTACCGGCTCTTGAATTGCTGGGGAATTTCTCTAGACAATCAAGAGCCGGTAATAGTTCAAACTTTGAATATCACCGGCTCTCGAGTCCCTTGGTAATTTTCCTAGAAAATCAAGAGTCGGCAAAAGTTCAAACTTTGATTATTATTACCCGCTTTTGGGCATTTGGGTAATTTTTCTAGACAATCAAGAGCCGGTAATAGTTCAAATTTTGATTATAACCGGCTCTTGATTCCTTGAATCATTTTTCTAGAGCCTAGTGGTGCCCACGAGAGTCTCGTTTTCGAGAATCTGGCATGGTATCGTCTCGTTTTCGAGACAAAAACTCGAGACGATACTCGGACAAGTCGAGACGAGACTTTTATTGGTTTCATCTCGAGTGCGCATATTCGTAAAAAAAAAAAAAAAAAAATCTCGAGTCTCGTGTCTTGTGCGAGAGTGACGCAGGTGATTAAGGTGAATATTTTTACGTACAGACAAAGTACACAGAATTTAAATATATACAGTTGGACTCTAGGGAAACCGTTATCCGCCTACCCCCAATGAACTATATAAAAAACGCAACTGAAACGGCAATGAAGTACCAAATTTTGTAACCTTAGGCCGAAACCCATTAACAACACGCCACGCCATGCTACGCGATTCCACGCCATGTGACATAGGTTCACGTGGAACAGTTTGTGTGCAAATTTGTAACACGCCACGTGATGACAAGCTGATTTTATTCTATACATTTTATTTAGAAAAATCGTTAGTACCATCAGTAGCTTTGAGTACATTATGGAGTATAGAAGCAGTTCGTCTAGTGACTTAGTTTCTAGAAGAATGTGCTGCTGCGGCTCTGACTTTACAGAACAAAAAAAAAAAAGAAGGTTCTGGGTGTACAAAATAAACAGGAATCGAGAAAAATATGTTGCTTTTCATGTATTAATGAGAGAGCTGCAGACAAATCGTAGGCGATACCATATGTACATACTTCTGTATGGAAAAAGAACAATTTGATTATTTACACAAAATATTGAATCAATACAGAAACAGATTGTGGCGGAGCTAGAGAGGCAGTCGGGGAACATTTACACGTACCAACACGCGTGGGCAGCATCTGGAAATTTGAAATCGTCACACGTCGGATGACGTGGCGTGCCATGGCGTGGTATCGCGTGTGGCAAGTGTGTACGCGGCACATGTATAGTTCGTCGATTTTTAACTGACACTTTCCGTATGAGGAGCGAGAGAGTGTTTTATATGGCAAAAACAGGTGTGACGTCAGGTAACCATTGGAGTTCTAATGTAGGGAGCCACCAGCTTACTTTCCGTCCGAGTATCAGATTAAAATCGACGGACAATAAATGAATGGAAGAATATACGCATACATTTTTGTCACATGGCGTGGCGTGGTATAGCATGGCGTGGCGTGTTGCTAGTGGGTTTCCACCTCAATAAGGTTTTGTATATCGATCCTTGTCTGACTCACGCAGTATTCATGACACAGACAAGAATTATAGTCTGTCTTTCTTAACAAAACTTTACCGATGGTGTGTAAATGAGCGTTGCCGTTCCAGTTGCGTTTAATATATGGTTCATTGCCTACCCCTTCCCTTAGAATGCTGTTGGGAATCATAACTCATCGTACAATTATCATCCGAACAAATGAAAATAACTTCAATTTTCCTAACCCCCCCCCCCCCCCCCCCAATCATTTCGGATAGGTGCATGAAGTCAGGGGATTACATTTATATAGCAAGTAGGTATAGTACTTTTAATACCCGTTTGGAATAACCCCATCCTTGTTTATCAATCATGGATCAGATGAAACAAAATTACTAACCAATCAATCACAAATCACCAAAACGACTGGTAAACTACTGGTACTTTCAAATAGGTATTAAAAAAACTATAAGGGCCAGTTTCACAAACAGTGGTAACCCAGCGATAACCACAATAAGACACTGGTAACCTATAATATATCTGTTTCATAATGTTTGGTTTGGTTAGCATCAGAATATTCCATGTAGTCAACCCAATGAGTTTGATAACCATTGCACATTGCAAACTGGGCCTGACGCGATGTTGTATATGGGTTTGGACTAAGTAATACAATAAATTATTAGGTAGAACTGTATATTTAAACCAAGAGATTACAACATGAGTTGACTGACTAACTGACTTACTGTGCTGACTGACTGACTAACTCGTCATCAGGGTCCTTATTCTTGAAAAACGGGAACAGCGTTCTCAGGAGAACGAATGTTCCTTCTTTCTCAATGCAATGCAAATTATAATATAAGTAACAAAGATGGAACACTCGTTCTCCTGGGAACCCTGCTCCCCAGTTTCAAGAATAAGGACCCTGGTGGTGTCTTTGTTAAACTACTCATACATAACATGCTCTCCCTTGAAAAAAATTGAAAAAAAAAACGGATCCAAAATATAAAAATTACGTTAATGTCAATAACAGAAAATCCTAAAAACTAAAACAAACTACAGAACATAATCTTTTTGCCATGAAGGCCGTTTAGGAACTATCTTTGTCATATTGTCACACTCTAAATTATCCAACCAGAACTTTATCTCGCCCTTGTACCTGAAAAGATCTCTGCTTCCTTTAATGTTGAATAAGACACCATGATCAAAACAGGACACAAGTTTATTAATTGGATAAATTAATTAAAGCATTCAAGTTATAATTTTATTTAAAAGACATTTGGTAAAACTAAGATGGGATAACAGATTTCCGCCGGGTTACCAATAATAAAAGAATTTACTTACATTAAATTCGCCATGAGAACTTTATCGAAACGAACGCTTTTTCGGGATACACTTTTCCGAGACTTTTCTGCCTACCGGTTGAAGGATCGAAACTTGACTGACTTCTCTTCAAAAATCTGTTCTCCTCATCTAATCAATGTTTTGTCTTGTCAGCATGATTTCCGAAAGGAATCCCATGCTGACCCCAATAGATGTTTTACATTTAGTAACATTTCTAATTGGGAACTGGAACACTGACGTGATGAAAAGAATAATATTAAAGTTTGTTTTGTCCTGTGGTTGTTTACTCTTAAATGTGTAAATCAGGACAGTTTATATTAAATAATTTTGTTCGAATATAGATTTTATAAAGTTAATGAATTCCACTTTTGACAATATCTTCACCATTCTCACTTCTCTCAAGGGTAGCTGAAGAGTCATTTAATTCAAATGTATCTGGATGCTGTTCAGAAGTTTGACTAACGAAAGGCAAAGTAGAAGGCGGTTGAACAGCAGCAGTTGAGGGCGGTTGAACAGAAGGAGCAGAAGGTGGCTGAGACTGGTTAATACCAAAATTATATCCAAAGTCATACAATAAATTAAAATTATTTTCCTTGCATTCAAAGTTTAGTTTTGTTTGTCTTAAATACCTTCGGTTCCTTCTGTATCTTTTTCCGTATTCGTCCATTACAATATAGGATCTATCGTTAACCTTCTCCATTACTTTTTCTTTCTTCCAT